CCCCACCACCAAGTTTTTCTATTACTACGGACTACAACTACGCAAATTAGTGACTAACAACAGAGGACGAGTTCAAGCGTGATCAAGAGGTGCTTATACCTTTATCTCTTCATCCTGGGGTACTTGTTAGGAATAGTCCCACATTACTTATTTAAGGGGAGTTAAACCAACTTAAAAGTAGGAGAGCCCCTCACCACTCGAGTTAGATTTTGAGATATTGTAAGACTTCTTCCTGATTGGGCCAATGTCTCCCGGTTTTGGCCAACAAGTGGTATCAAAGCCAATCTCTAGTTCTTGTGCACACTCAGCGTGGTGTAAGCCCAAAATCTAGTGGACCGCGGGTGTGTCCTGTATGTGCCCATGTGTGGGGCCGGTCTCTATTGCTTGTGCACAGTCAGCGTGGTGTAAGCCCAAAGCCTAGTGGACCGCGGGTGTGAGTCCCGTATGTGCCCGTGTGTGGGGCCGGTCTCTAGTGCTTGTGCACACTCAGTGTGGTGTAAGCCCAAAGCCTAGTGGACCGCGGGTGTGAGTCCCGTATGTACCCGTGTGTGGGGTCGATCAGTGCTAAGCGGCACCAATGTGTGACGGGGGAGATTGTTAGGAATAGTCCCACATTGATTATTTAGGAGGAGTTAAATCAACTTAAAAGTGAGGGAGCTCCTCACCTCTCGAGCTAGCATTTGGGGGTGTAGGAAGGTTTGGGGCCAACAGAACTGTCCTTTCCTTCTTCGCGATCCTCCGGAAAGTCAAACTCTGCACAAAAGCAATCCAACAATCAGATTATAATCTCCAAATGAATTAAGAAGCAAGCGGCCACCAACAGACCAACTCACCAACCCCGGACAATCGGAAGATGGAAGTTGTTTATTAGAGCGAGGCGAGATCGGTTCAAACACTGCAGTTGTAGTACTTTGTTAATTGATTCGTGGTTATCAAATGGTTATTACCGGTCCACTGCCCGAAATCATCACGCGATTAGATTCTCACGAGGACGCAAGAGCTATAGATAATTGGATAAAGTATTAGCAAGTGACGGTTATATTTAAGCTTGTGCGCGCGCGCAAGGAAAGCAGCGGGATGGACATTGGCCCAAGATGCTACAGATCGGAACTATCGCAGCACCGTCCTCATCGCCGCATCCTTCCTAAATTTATCACCATATAATAAAATTTAAAACTTCTTAAATTAATCATCATAAGCATGATGTTTTAATCGATACGTGCATCGCAGCACCATCCTCATCGCCGCATCCTTCCCAAATTTATAATCATATAATAAAATTTAAAATTTCTTAAATTAATCATCATAATTAGCATGATGTTTTAATCGATACGTGCATTGTGAGAGAATTTATGCATGGTGTATTGATTGATGTGACTTAAATTATCATTGGTCTTGGTGCATAAATATATATATGATGATTATTTTGAGAATAAGAGAGTAGTTGGGAACTAACGTGCAGTGCACGTAAAACGGAGCGACTCATTAGTGCATAATTAATTAAGTATTAGCTATTTTTAAAAAAATAGATTAAAATGATTTTTAAAGTAACTTTCGTGTAGAATTTTTTAAAACACACACTGTTTAATAGTTTGAGAAGTGTGTGCGTGAAAAACGAGAGAGTGAGAGAAAGTTAGGAACTTGCAGCAACAAACGCGCGTAAATCAGTAGCCATTCACTAGTGCACATGGTTGGCGCTACATACTGACACTGCCCTCATTGGCTTGGATCTTCCTATGTCACGATTTCCTTTATTTTATATGCTTACTCTACCGCTGTCAACTAATTAAGTAATTTTACAGTTCCTGTGGCGTTACCAAAAAAATACAATATTTTAAATAATTTTTATGTAAAATTTAGTTCCTCTTGATATCTCTGGAATGAAAATTTACATTGAAAGTTTTAATACCTCTTGGTACCTCTCAGTGATTATAAAATTTCTCCAACTAATTACTATATCCCTTCCTGTTTGCTATTATATTAGTGTCCTCTGCTAATCAATTTCCCATGTTTCTCCTATCGAGTCCACCAAAGTCTATTACATCTCTCTTTTAGTTTGTTGAGGTCACCTAGGTTTGCAACTTCCCCAACTCCACGTTGGAGTTAGCCTTTGTCATCATCCTATCATCATCACCAACGTGCCATCGCGGTTGGTCTATCATGTCATCAGCTTCCCATCGGAACTAGCAGGTATCTTCCTCAATCACTGAAGGATCGAATAACAATTTGTGAAGGTATTTCAGCATCATTGTAACTGTTTCCAGATCAGTGGAGAGCCGAAGGATAACTTCTGAAGGCTTATAGTACTAAGAGCCATACAAAAGTTTATGAACACTCTCGAGTCCACTTCACTAAGAACGTGATGGAACTTCTCTTCTTCATCATCAAAGAGTTGCATACTTCAATGACATCACATCAAGCAAAGACATTGGATTTATCTTATAATGTATTGTTAATATAGAGTTCAACCTTCAAATGAATGTATTTAGTATTTAGTTGTACCTTTCAAATGCAATGTTATTACATACATGTTGCATTTGAGTGGAGTGCTAAGCATATTAGTTTTAGACATTTCACGTCAATTGTACATATTTTATATGCTTATTGGACCTTATCAATAGCAACCCAAAGTCCCTCTCTTCTTTCCCAAAATTGACGCAGAAGAGGCTCATTTGACAAGTGCAACGGGATGCTGAAGAAATTTTAGTGAGAAGCAAATGCATGGTGGTGTCTCATAGTCCAAATATTTGCACTAAAAATTATGGGATATATGTTGGTCAGGCTGCAGTGTTCTCTGAGGATCACAAATATGAAAATTTTTTTGATGGGACTCTTGATTCACGTATAGATTTCAATAGAACTACTTCCTTGGTTTTCCTAGGTTTTGAGCAGTGATAAAAAAAATCATTTTCATTATAAACTTGAAAATGGAGGCAGTTCATTTTGGCGATTTTTCAGAAATTATTTTTAAACGTGATATCCACAGTAATTTATTTTGATCCAAAAATTTCCAGAAGTTTGCACAGATAAATTATATCCAACATTGTTTATGTCTGCCACAATATGGAATTTAAACTTTATGTTTTTATTTTTATTTCTTTGAAGGCGCTATAAAATTCTTTAATGGACAGTTTCATTATTTGAGTATTAGGATATGCTGTCACATGCACAATATGTTTGTGCAATCATGCTGTTATTACCAATTTGGCAAAATTTGCTACAGGATATCGAAAAATCATGTAATTGACTGGGAGATACCACAAAAGTTGTGTAATTGGTTGTAGGACACCCGAAATAATATTTTATTATTTTCGGGTAAAAAGAGGTGAGAAAATTTTCAAAATGACGGAAGTGCCCCCGGCGTCGCACCATGTATCCCGACTCTTCGCCGTCCTCCCACACCCTCCCCCCCCCCTTCGCTCCCAAAGAAACACCCGAAATCCCCAAAGCTAACCCTAGGCGGCGACAGGGTGGAGGCGGTTTGTGGTGACGTCAGGCGAATGGCGCTGGAAGTGGCCTGTTGAACTAGACTCGACAACGATGGCGATGGAGCTGTGATTTTTGTCAGCGGGCAAGCAGCACTGGGGATGATGTCACTGAGGAAGAAGTGAGATGGGAGGAAAGCGTCGCTACGTCTAACGAGCACGGAGGTTCCAATGAAGCCATTGGACATGTATTGGGATCCTAATGGTAAGTCTCAGTGCTTTTTTGTTACAATTTAGGATTGAATTGTATGATTTTTTTAGGGTTTTTTCACGTAGGATGGACGCTAGCTCAACTTGCAGCGTTGTTGTTTAGGTTGGTTCATATGTTCAGTTTGATGAGAACGGTAGACCAGATTTTCATGTGTCTTGTGAAATTAGTTGGGTACTAGACAAGGATACCATTTGTTGCAATGACCTTATGAATGATTTTAATGACGAGGTCAAACGTAGTTCTCAACAACAGATAACAATAACTTTTTGGGACAAAAATACTAAGAGGTATGTGCAGAGATAGTTCTTTGCGCTGCTTGATACATTTGATATGTACTGGGAGATGAGGAGGCTCACTTTGGTTGTTGATATGAGTGATGACCTACGAAATAGGACCAAGCCTTGTATGGAACAGGGCAACATGAAAATTTTGCACAAACGATGTTTGCAAAGCCAAATTTCATTGCATAAACTCATATGTTCACGATTAGGGTACTTCACAAACTTCATTGTTTGGGTTCTTTGGGGTCCTCAATGTTCGCGCTACCAGTTGTGTCACACACAATGGACAATTCCCCAAGGGCACTCACCAGTGCGGTGACGCACGACCAAAGATGAAGCCGAGCCATCCATCTTTGATGCACCACCATCGTCGCCACTTCCAGCGCCGCTCGATCGCCCGGCACAGCCACCACCAGCCATCACCGAAGCCACCACCGCCACCTAGAGTTAGGTTTGGATAGGGACTTCGGGTGTGTGAGGGGAGGGGGGGAGCGACGAGTCCAACTCAGTCTAATTCAACCGGCAGCTTCCAGCGCCGCTCACCCGCCATCGCCACCAACCACCTCCACCATCATCATCGCCGCCTAAGTTTAGGTTTGGGGATTTCTAGTGTTTGTGGGAGAAGCGACGAGTTTGACTGGGTCTAGTTCATCTGGAACTAGTCGGGGTTAAATGGTGTGACGCCAATGGCACTTCCGTCATTTTGAAATTTCTCTCTCCTCTTTTTTCCTGGAAATAATAAAATATTGTCTCGGATATCCTACAGCCAATTATACAACTTTTATAGTGTCCATCGGCAGTGTCACGTTCTTTACGGTGTCTCCCAGCCAATTACACGATTTTTGGATATCCTATAGCAAATTCTGCCTACCAATTTTAGCTCTGGAAAGCATGCCAGATGCTAGTAGTATTTTTCTACGCCTATACTTGTCAAGCACTAAAAAAAATTCTTGGGTTATTTAAAAGGCAACCAAGTAAACTAGCCATTTTTCTGTAGTATACCAGAGCTTAAAAGATGACGGCAACTCGATCTACTGTACGAGTAAAAGTTCACCTCCTATTCATTTTACATGACATGGAAGTATGAATATAATGGGAAATTAGATCTACAATAGAATTCAATTCGAATTATAAAAATAAATAACTTGCAAAGAAAACCAACAATATAGGTTGCTTCAACTCCATGTAGTCAAGAAATATCAACTTCCAAACTAAAATCTCTTTATTTTCCATCATGCGGGCACGTTGTTTTAGAAGCACAACACAAGACTTTGGTACTCGCGGTAGCATCTTGAATGGGAAGACTTATGTATGTCTACTAAGTTACAAATCACACCATAAATTCAAGTCATTATCTAAAGAAAACTTTAGGTTCACGTACCAAACGAAAACTGAAGATCAGGTCTGAACTCCAATACGTATTCAAGGGTACACCTCAATTATTGATAGAAAACCTAATATTGGCATGATTTTGTAGGCACTAAATCCAGCTTTGGAAAATATATTTTCCCATTCTTTTTCCTCTCTCTCAACCCCATCTATGTACATCATGTAGAGATCAAACAATACTTGCGTCTCTTTGAAGATGTCCCTCTGTGAGCCTGATCCAATCACCATATTTATGATTATCACCTTTCCTCCAGCATCTCTCGCAGGTATTGCTTCCTTGCACCGTCTAAGTATCTTGACACAATCATCATCACCAAAACAATGCAAGACATACTGAAACATAAATATTTAGAAGTATAAAATAAAAGAAGTTTGGAGGCTAACTAGATAGCTAACTTGAAGGGAAAATGCATCTCTAAAACCCTCGAACTATTATAAATTGTCTAGTCAAACCTATGAAGTTTGTTTTTATTAAGCCAGATCTGTTAGGTGCATTCATCTTTGTACAAGGTCTTGAAGTTCATGTTTGTTTATTTAAGCCTTGCAAATATCTTATTTATTATATATTAGTCAAATTAATTGGTGTGAATATCTTGTTTTTTGTAAGGAAATACTTGACCTTCAACCCTGGATAATTACTCACTTTATTGACTCTTCAAAAGTTGTGTTTTGGTATAGTATTTATCTTTGCTAATTGGAGGCTACTCTTGAACATTTATCGATCCTTATTAATCATAGAGATGAAAACATTGGGGATTTCACATATTAATTAGAATACTATATAGTGCGAAGACTGGATTGAGTATATGATCGAAATCGTGGCAATATATAGTTGTTACCATGATAATTGCACTAACACAATGATTTTTTTCTGGCGATAGGTCCATTTCCTAGTAATGTGAGAAAGGACATTCAATTATTGATAATCGTTCATCTTATTAAAAATATTATCTAAATATCTTTTGTTTTTGTTACAACTTATTTTATACTCCATCCATCTATTTTTGATAGGCATATTTTTAAATCTGAAAAAATTACTTTTGATAGGCATATTTCAATCCAACCACCTATTCTCTTAATGACTTTCTTGAATTTAATATGTGACTCCCCATTCTTTCATAAAGATCGGCTATATGGGCATCGAGAAATGTAAATATTAATGAATCGCTTGTTTACGAGGAATAACTAGTAGCTTGTTTAAATGGATGATAAGTAGAATTACCTATCCTTAGTCATTGTGCCAAAATGAAATATGACTATCAAAAATACATGGAGCGAGTATCATTAATGTATACTTCTAAACTTCATAAAAATATAAAATTTTTAAATAAAATGGATGGTTAAACCCATGAAAATCAATTGTTTTAGACATTTAAAAATGGAGGTAGCATATAGCCACATACTCAATACGATTTTCCCTAAAAAATATACTTCCTCCATTTCAGGTTATAAGATTTTATAACTTTGATTAAAGTTAAACTGATTTAAGTTTGACTAAGTTTATAAACAAATATAGTAGTATTTACATTACCAAATTAGTTTTAAACTAATAATTAAATATATTTTTATAATAATTTTATATTGGTTAAAAATATTATTATTTTTTATAAACTTGATCAAATTTAAAATAGTTTGACTTTTATCAAAGTCAAAATATCTTACGACTTGAAATACTAAATAAAGATGCGACACACCTTGAGTAGTACGGCATCTGCCGGCGGGACGTACTCAAACATGTCGCCGGCGACGAACCGCACGTCGCCGGCGTCCGGTGGCGCCTTCCTGACCACTTGCGGGAGGTCCAGCACGCTGCACTTGACATGGGGGAACGCCGCGGCGACGGCCGCCGCGGCCGCGCCATGGCCGCCGCCGACGTCGACGAGGGAGCCAATCCCGCGGAACACGTCGCCGCCGCCCTCCCTGAACACGACCTCCATGACGAAGCGGCTGTCCGCGGCCATGGCGTCGTTCAGGACGGCGCCGTACGCGGCGTCCCTTCCGGTCATCTCCCACCTGGGGAAGCCGTGCGCCATCTCGAACAGCGACATCGCCGCGCCGCCGCCGGCGGCGACAGGCTCCTCCTCTTCCTCCTCGTCGTCGACCCTGAACCACGCGTGCAGGCTGAAGAACGGGGTGAGAGCCGTGGGGTGCACGAGAAACCTTAGCATGGGAGACATGTCGTGCCCGCCGCCGGCGCCGGCGACGAGGAGGCGGGACGCCGGGGTGAGCGTGTACACGGCCTCGCCGGAGGAGGCCGGCTGCTGCTGCTTCATGGCGAAGATGCCGGAGACGGTGAGCACGCGCATGAGGCGCCGAAGGTGCGGGACCTTAGCCTGGCGGAGCGCGACGTCGGCGACGATGTCCCGGAGCGTGGCGGCGCCGCCGCGGCGGTGGATGGCGGCGGGGATGCCGAGCTCGGCGGCGCACTTGAGCGCCATGGACTTGATGTAGGAGAAGAAGTGGTGGTAGAGCTGGAGGTGGCCCTGGAGCAACTCCTCGGTGCTCATCTCGTAGCTATGTTGTGTTGTGTGTTCATGCATGCATCGCTAGCTATGCAAACAAGCGTATTTATAAGGACAGACAGCTCTCTAGATTAGATTAGTAGTATTATGATTTGTTTAATTCAGTTTTAGATTGTTATATTTTAAGATGGATGGAGTCGTATATCATGATAGTCGAAAATAGCGTGGGACTTATGATCAGGTAGTAGTACCGAGCTGTGATCATTGGTTCGAAATTTTGGAAATTTTGAATTTTTGGACCCCACCGGTAAGCACATATCTTCCCCGAAGATTTTGTTTTTTAAAATATTTGTGGATTTGACTGATAATATATTCAAATTTAATCAAAATATGTTAAAATTTCCCCAAAAAAATCGGTTAGAAAATATCAAAATTCATGAATTTTAAAAATTTTGGCAGCCACATAAATTTTGGTGACTACCGAAATTGCAAACACTCTCTGTGATTGAAACAGACAAAAAAAGTAGCTATCGCCAAACACCCTAATTCATTTTTTTAAGGGTAAATTGGAACCATGCCATTATAATTTTGCAAAGTTTGAGATATGCCATCGGTATCTCAATGACATGTAACACCCTAATTCGTTTTTTTAAGGGTAAATTGGAACCATGCCATTATAATTTTGTAAAGTTTGCTTGTTGCCGGCAGCGACACTTAACCTAGTACCTGTTATTATCAGCTACCCAACGTGTATGACCTGGTAAAAGAATATTGTATTGTATTTGTTGTTTCTTACAGGCTTTCCTCCCACATTATGGTAGCACTAAGAGGACAATTAACATGGGTATGGTCATCGTCTCCCACCAATTTTTAATTTAAGACAACATCATATTTTCTGCTGTGTACCTGCTCATTGACCATGAACTTTAACTTTGACCTGGTTCCAAAACACCGTTTAATTTGTTATAAGAATCATCGACAGCAACAGGTGGTTAACAAATTTTATCGAAATTAAAAAGTATAAATTAAACTAACACTTTAAATTTGGCCTGCATGATTGGTTGAAACAAACTACTCATGAATTAAATTTGAAGTATATGGATTTATATCATTCCGGCTAGCTAGTAATAAAATTTATTCGAATGAAATTTGACCTGCATAATCGGTTCACATCTCTGTATTTGGAACCTTTGCTTCCAGCTTCGACATTTCTAATTAACGCCGTCACTTCTACTGTATACCGTCAACATTCACGCGCCGCCACCTTCATCAAGGCTTCAGTAGTTCAGTTATGCCCGGAAGTTGTTATAAAAATCCATTCCCAATCATGCGCCGTGTACTTAAAAAAAACTAAGTTTTAGACATTGACAAAGCCTCAAAATGCACATTGTTATTATTACTTTCTTGATCTATATATTTATAAAATATAAAAGAGTAGTAAAAGTACAATTGCAGAGAAAAATCGATGTTAACTCTACATGGATAAATTTCACGTATTAATAATTAATGATCTAAGGTATGAAAAATCCTGACCGGATCAGCTAACGTTTATGTGTTGTACTGAACTTTATTACAATATTTAGGGATAAAGAAATTACTCCCTCCATCTCTGAATAATTATAGTTTTAGTTAGTAAAGGGCATGTCAAGAATAAGACTAAAAGACCATTATACATTTCATTAATATGGAGGAAAAATAAGGAGGGAGAGAAAACGAGGAGGAGAAATGAGTACTATTGGTTTACTGGATAAAAATGAGGAGCAAAAGATGCAGTAGTCTTCTCTGAAATTCCAATTTGAAGACAAGTTCTCATCCTAAAACTACACTTATTTATACAATGACTAGAATAGTAACCATAGAATTAAATGAGTTATCACGTAGGATAAAATATAACATGTCAAGTCAGTAATTGAAGAAAGAGGAGTAAAGCGTGTCTTACATTAGATATGGTTTCTACACAATATTCACAATATATTGACAGAGTAGTAGTATTAAATTCGAATATAATCAGCAGTACTATTTGTGTTGGAAAAGTAGTAGTTTCTTAATAATTTGGAGGATATAAAAATCATGGCTAGTTTCTTTTTATTGTGATTGTCCTTAGAGACTGAGGAAGTGGTAATCTATAATGGATTAAATACATAATAGTAGTATGAATTTATAAAAGATTGTTTAGTTTCGTAATAATAGAATATGCATATATAATCCTATAATATTTAATAGTTGAGGACGGAGTAAATAATTATGGCAAGTAGCAGCCATCTTGACCACATCGTCACCTGAATTCAAGATTATGTCGATGTCCATTTAACTACGCCTTTTTAATTTTCTTCATGTCCATGTGTCGACATCTCTGTTTTGGAACCTTGCTTCCAGCATTGACATTTCTAACGCCGTCATTTCCACTGCATACCGTCAACATTCAAGCGCAGCCACCTTCGTCAAGGGTCCAGTTATGCCAGATGGTCATTATAAAAATCCATTCCCAATCTTGTGCCTTGGATTTAAAAAAATAACATTTTGAACATTAACCTAGTCTCCAATGCATATTTTTATTATTACTTTCTCAATGTGAACGGAATTTAAGAAATAGAAGTTTTTACTGTAAAGCTATATACACAGAGAATAGATCAAAACTATTCCTATTCTACGACTATCATATACTCTCTTTTATTCATTCTAATTTATTATACCAATCAAAATAAAATTTAGCCCTAAAATATCTTGTGGCATGTAACAGATGGGCCACTTCGGCCTATGTGTTGCATGTACGTAACCTAAACAGCCATCTACCCCCGCACCTTATGACCTAACAAACTTCTCTTCTCGCTAGTGTTGTTGGGTCTCACGTGTCAAGTTGGTGGTGGTGGTGGCAGACTCACTACCACCATTGTTATTGGCTTTTAAAGTAGTATAGATAATAATATCAAAAATATAATTTGGTAAAATAGTTTCACATATTAAATTCTAATATATTTTATTAATCAATGATGTAAGATTTTAAGTTTTGATTGCATGAATTCTAGGTTGTCCTTTAGAGAACAAAGATAAAGGGTGGAGCATTGGGTAGGTCGATGTTAGGCGCGAGCCATATAAAAATCGCTGGGAGTACTCTCACCTGTCCAGCATTGCCAAGAGCCCGAAAGCCCAAGAAACCATCACCATGGACATGACGCAAACAACCGAGTGGGACAAGAGCATAAGCTGTCAAGGGGGAGAAATCACCTCCTTGCCTCACCCGCCTCTCTGCCACTGTGCCGAAGAAGCCGAGAGGATTCAGATCCTGGTCATTTTAAAAAAAATTATTTTACAAAATGACCACTGAAAAACTAATTCTAAAAAAAATTCTTTTTTGCGCATCGGAGTGCCTGGTACCGTCGTTTAATAAGGCGGTGCCATCACCTCTCACGCTGTCCACATGCCAACGTGGCACCATGGGGGCCAACCGACGTTGATATGGCGGAAGGAGGGCGCCACGTTAGCATCGGCTGGCCCCCGTATTGTCACGGTAGCACGCAGAGGACACTAGAGGTGATGGCGCCGCTATGTTGGACGATGGTGCCAGGCACTCCGGCAAAAAAAAAAATCATTTCTAGAATAAGTTTTTCTAGAGGTTTTTTTATAAAATAAGTTTTAAAAAGGACTAAAATTTAAAAAAATCCAGCGGGATCTAGTTGTGTTGTTCGGGAAATTAGAAGGGGCTCTTTGCAGAATTATTCTTGCATCAGAGTCCGCACCTAATCGTCACCACGCTATATCAGCACTCAGATCATGTCGTGGTTGGTGTGGATTAGTAAGACCCTATTTAAATGGGACTTAGATGGGACTTTTAAGTCCCTATCACATCGGATGTTTGGACACTAATTATAAATATTAAACATAGACTATTAATAAAATTCATCCATAATTTTGGACTAATTCGCGAGACGAATCTATTGAGCCTAATTAATCCATGATTAGCCTATGTGATGCTATAGTAAACATTCTCTAATTATGGATTAATTAGGTTTAAAAAATTTATCTCGCAAATTAACTTTCATTTATGTAATTAGTTTTGTATGTAGTCTATATTTAATACTCTAAATTAGTGTCTAAATACAGAGACTAAAGTTAAGTCCCTAGATCCAAACACCACCTAATGGATACTGAATCGAGTTTAGGGGTTTAAGAGTTCAAGCACTTAGATGACCCATTTACATAAATATAGAATTTGTGTGTGCACTTCACTCTTATTATGACACCATTGACTTTTTACACAATATTTAACCGTTCGTATTATTAAAAAATATAGTATGAATATGTAAAGGTATGGGTTAATATTATATTTTATTTGATGGTAAAACAAGTGACCCCCAAAATAAATTATATTTATAATTTTTTAAATAAAATGAATAATCAAACGTTAGGTAAAAGTCAACAATATCGTACATTTTAAAAATAGAGGATGTATTATTTTTTTTAAACGTTGACTTGTTGGATCTCACTAGCATCCCATAATATCATAATATTAAGAGAACATTATTGTGTACTTGTGTACTCGGTCCCGCCATGAACACCCTCCTCCTTTTTCGTTCTTCCTTCGCTACTAATATAGATAAGCGAAAACAATTTTAATCATCTCATATGGTTCCAACTTCAAAACTGTATGAAAGATCCTGATTATTGTTTATGTTTTCTGTACCGATCGTTTTATTCTAATATTCTAATATCTCTATCCAAGGCAAGTAGCAGCCTTCTAGTGCTTAACCATATTAGAGTAAGTTTTGTTGAGGTGATGGTCACCTCTAATTTTATCCATATCATTTTCTAGTAGCATATACAACACATTGCCTCTAATACACTTATCCCATTATTTATTTTTACTTAATCTATTGGTCACTTTCTCTTATCATCTATCTAGGAGCAGTTTGTGTAAAGGTTGCTCATTGCATGATCAGTGGCTCTTTTTCTTTCTCCCCATTGCTCTCTTTTCCACATTATCATATATTATCCTATTTCTTTCATCCTAAAATATTAGACATAACTATTTTTTCTCATATCTCAAAATATAACATAAGACGTGCATGCATACATACAAACATTAACTTAACTATCACCTCTTGATATTTTAAATTTAGTTTATTTTAAATCCTCTACGATCAAACCCTCAATCTCATTGCTTGCATCTATGGACATGATCCAACTGAGGAGGTGATTAAGTTTTTTCTTAGTTTTTTATTATCAGTTACTCCCTCTGTCCCAAAATATAAGCATTTTTAGCTATGAATCTGGACAGCCATGTGTCCAGATTTATAGCCAAAAGTTGTTATATTTTGGGACGGAGGTAGTATTAAGCTTTATAATTTGGGATGGAGAGAGTATATGGCATTTGGACCAAGAGCTCTCTCATCACCTGAATATTCTCTCCCTCTCAATATAAATAAATGTAGTTTTAGAAGTAAGGGGAGAAATTAAGAGGGAGAGAAAATTACCTAGGTCCCCCTAGTGAACGAGAAGGGTAGGTAGCGAGTGGATAGTTGATGTATGTATGTATGTATGAAGAGAAATTTAAATTAGATATGATTGATGGGATAAATAGTACTACATGATTTACTTATTTTGAAACAAAATTTGAATATAAGAAATATATACTTATTTTTGGACTTTGGGGAAGAGGTAGTATTTTTAAAAAAAAAAAAAAAGTGGATGTCATTTGATACGCTTTTTAATTTTCTTCACGTGTACAGAGTACAGACTACAGTGCACGGCGGCCTTAGGACGTTCGTCAGTTGTATCCAATATTTATTTCGCCGATCGTGACAAATACATTGTTTTGCACAACAAGATAACGTTTCAAATTTAGTTTTGATCACTAATTTTAAACAGTGGTCTGCATGGCGGCTTTCCCATGTTTGTTGGGAATAAAAGCATCATCATGCCAAACATTGGCAGCCAAAGTTGGGCTTAAAAATTAAAACATGTAGTAGTACATCACCCAACAGGTTTATTACTACTCGCTCCTCGGTTTGATTTCTCCCGAGTTGATTATTCAAAGCTCCCAAATACTCGCTCCTCGGTTTGATTTCTCCCAGAGTTGATTACCGATTCAAAGCTCCCAAATGTTGCGTTCATATTTAACTTCTTTTTCTGCCTTCGGCTTGCATGTCAAATCCCATTACTCACTCATATTAACTCGGACTCGCTCACATCATCAGGTTGTTTATCAGACAACAGGAGCCATTGTGTTAACACATAATTCAGACAATACAACAGGAGGGAGCCAAACGCCAAGATAAATAAACAGATGATACTATAACTCGAAGAAAACCAATTATTCTTTTTTTTAGTTACTTGCTACTATGCCCCCTGGCTACAGAGTAAGGTATACATTTGCGAACAAGCAAAATTTGTGGTTAACACATACTGCTTTGTAACGACATTAGCATGCAGCTTGAGTTCACTTGCCACTGAAAGAAAAAAAAAAGCTATGGGTGTATGATCTGGCAAGTTTTTTTGTGCTCTATACAACTGCAGAAAATATTTAATAAAAGAATCAAAAATGAAAATTGATGGGAGCCGTGACCGTGATCATGGCAGCAAGATGCCACCTCTTGCTCAAAATGGAGATTCCAGTGGCTGTACCAAGACAGATGATGCATACAAAAAGGTTTCCTGCACCTGTCGACGAGCTGCGTTGTCACACCCCGGATCCTCGGCTCTGATCAGAAACAATTGCTGGCCATGTATGGATTGGCAATTTTGCGCACAGAACAAACATCAACTTCTCATCAAGCTTGATCCTGATCCATGATGAATTTTGTTGTAGATGGATATAAAGGCAAATGCTCTTACTGTTTGCCCGCAGTGTGCAAGTTGTAGTTTGGTTTTGGGAACAGGTGCTCAGTTAATGCCATTCAAGGGGTTCTGCCTCTTTCTTCGTTTTTCCCTTAGGACGACCAAACATTCTCACGTTTTTACCAGTCAAGAGCTTCAGTGCACGCTCGAGGGTAATCTTCTTTGGGTCAGCACTCTGTCATATACAATTTTCAAGAAATTCTCAAATTGACCCTGCCATATACATTTTTTTAAGAACTTCTCAAATTTACCAAAACAAGGAAGCACACAAACTCAATTTGAAAAAAATAATATGCAAGTCTAAAGATTTTTTTTTTTTAAAAGCAAGTCAGTAATTGCAATTGTTTTCAATTAGAATTTATGAAAACAAAACAATAGAACGAGCATAAAAGAATGAACAATGCATTGTTCGTTTCTATGCTCGTTATTATGGTGTCTGATATCAACATTCAACAGATACAATATTCAACAAATACCTTTGGCAAGGAAGCAAGAGTTCTCCTGTGTCTGATACTAAATCCAGCTTTAGAATGTGTGATAAGTACAGGAAGATCATCATCAGGGTGTTTTCCCTGTTAGACAACAAAAACATCATGGGACAACTCATCAACGTGTACTAATGAACAGCTAAAATGTTAGACATACCAGAATTTTGGGATACTGCAATAGCTCGATTGCATCTTTCAGAGTGATAGAGTCAATATCTTTCACCTGAAATAAAGGGTAGCCATAGCTAAGGTTGAGTTCTTGAAAAGGTCAATAAGATAGATCATTGCTAAGGACAGGGTTGCACTGTGTTTAAAACCAGATAAAGTGGAAGTTACCTCAGAAAGAGGAGCTCTTTTCGGTGATACTCCCTTTCTATCCTCTCCAACCTGGACGTAGTGGCCATAAGGACCTTGTTTCAAAAACACCTGTAAAATAAGCAACAAAAGTATATCATAAATATTTGTTACATGCAAAATTACAAAGCAGGATAGCCGTAGTAAATATACCTTTTCATCAGAATCAGGTAGCGCTCCAAGTAACCTAGGTGTGAAAGTCCTTTGAGTTTCATCAGATGCTTCAGTTTCATCGTCATCGTCTGATAACGTGCGAGCAATGTACCTACAAGTTTAATTACACAATGTGTACTCAATTATAATTGAGAAATGCTGGAATTAGTTTATAAACAGCGCTAAAATGGATAATAGCAGTGATTATACTCAATGAATTGATAATTTCTAAGAGAGGAACAGAGGGTCATACTTGCATTTCGGATGTCGATCACAGCCTATGAAATAGCCCTCACCATACCTACTAACTTTGAATCTTAGGGTTCCTTCAGAACAACTGCAGATATTGCAATCATTTTAAGCACACGTTATGCATAAGGATTAAAGATGGCATTGTAGTTATCGGTTAACAATGCCATATTAATATGTAGTACTCCTTCCGTCCCAAAAAGAGTTGATTTCTGGCTATTTTCCAGGTGCATAGCTAGAAATCAATTCTTTGGGACGGAAGAATATATAGTATGAACATGTAGATTTCACAATATGATAAATATTAACTCTCTACTAGAAAATAGCTTCTAGAGAGCGATGACATGAATTACCTAGGGCATATCCTACTATCATTGTCTAGGTCAGAAAAGAGGATGGAACCGAATTTTTCTTCAAGCATTCTTTCTACCTGCAACAAAGTGGATAGCTCAAATATTGTTCTCAATACTCAAGGGATTGCACATCTATATGTCAACAGTTTCATTTGCTAATAACTAGAATAAAGATGCATCAAAATGATTATTACAGGCTGACTAATTTGTCTCATTTCTCATTTCGTAGCCCAACATTTCTCATTTCTTATGCCAAAGAAGAAACATTGAGATTTGCAAGTTTCAAGAAACCTAAGGCAATGATTACATGTTACAAATCCTACCCATAGAAACCAGAATCCTTGTATTTAATAACTACAAAGATCATTTGATGGAATCAACACCGGATCAGCAGAGGCAACGGATCATACGATCTTGCACGAGAACAGGAGTTTGTTCATGCACGAGGTCCTCGCAGAAGCACTGCACGAGCTTCAGGCATGGAGAGCCGCAGGGTCATTAGGTTTAAAACTTTCCAAGATGATGACCAGGGCCTGCATGCCCAATCCACTCCCTTACCAGCTGGCTATCTCGTGTATGACGACGATGTACAACTTTCTATCTCTAATGGAAATACATGCATAGCTTTTGAATGTTCCCCCCAAAAATAGAAGGGTCTGGTATCTTAATTCAGTTGCTATGACTTGACAAAAGCCAATGTGATCATGTGGCAAAAATAAACTTATATGCATCATATGGTAACTAGAGCAAGCTGTAATACTGTTGCTCTAGGATATATTACTCTCCTGTTCATTTTTAGAGACGCAGTTTAACTTTGACTTGGTAAATATCTCAAAATTAAAATACAACACCAAGATCAAATGAAAGTGATTTGAAATATGAATTTAACGACACAACTTTTGACTCTGTAAACTTATAAAGAGAGAACCATCGTCACTTCAAAATTACAAAATTTGAACCTTTAAAGGCAATTGCACCTTATGAGAAATCAGGAGTGATTTGCGTTCTACCTGTAAGGGTAAACAAAATTATACTAGGTATCTAATGAATAAAGCAGTACCTTTCTGACGTCAAGGCGACTAGCATCGCCGCAATATTTATTGAATCGTTCCCAAAAGTCTTTCAGAAGGCCCTTCCATTCAGTTGATCCAGCAGAGACATTATCTAGCTATTAAAGCAGCAGGAAAGGAGTATTAATATGATTATTATACCAATAACAACATTATCACATTAGGTGGCTAGCTCTTCACAAGAATAGGAAAAGAAGTTTATATGGTTTCACACAGATCAACCCATGTCAGTGGAAGTTTGAGTGATAGGAAAAGTTACAAGAATCCTACCGTTTACATCCATATATACTGGCATACCTCATTCAAAATGACAAGAAAAAAACATCATCAGTGGAAACAACAGGCCTGACCTATGATATTGACCAACCTCTTTTTGTGTTTATATATTTCAAGCTAAGCAATTCTAATTTTAGCATATTGACCCACATCTGTGGGAGTAACTAGCCAGCTTAGGCTGTGTTCAGGTGTTGGTGTTGGGAACTAATCCCTCGCGAACGCAAAACGGAGTGACTCGTTAGCGCATGATTAATTAAGTAATAAGTAATAGCTTTTTTAAAAAAAATGGATTAATATGATTTTTAAAAGCAACTTTCGTATAGACCTTTTTGCAAAAAATGCACCATTAGCAGTTTGGAAAGCGTGCGCGTGGAAAATGAGGTATGTGAGTTGGGAAAATAGGATAAAGAACACAGCCTTATGCTGGTTTCCGAACTCAAAAAATAGGAAAGAAGATGCATATATAAACTACAAACTGAAATTTGTTTACTACCTCAGTCTCCATGTTAGCAGTAAAGCTGAGATCTGCAACTTCAGAGAAATGATGCATAAGAAACGCCGAGACCTGAGGAAGATGGTACCGAACATTTGTCAAAAATAGAAGAAATGAAATAATTTAATTAATTAAAGTTATCAGAAGAAACATTGATGTGGGAACTGAAAGAATGGAATCACATACAAAAGGAAAACATAAACTATGGAATGCACAAGTTACTCATCTTGAGAAAAATGACATAGGAAGAGAAAATAGAGAAAAATATCCATGTGGCGATTGCATCACTGAATTACAAATGCCTATTTTGCATCCTTGATTGATCAAAATAGATAAAACATCCCTTACAACCTAATCCACCCAGGCTTTGTTTGACATGGCACTGCTTTTGAGATTGAGATTGTGTGGTTACGTGTATGTTTCATCACACGTGACATGCAAATCATCCTTCACTTGTGGGACCAACCATGTTAAGAAAATAAAAGCAGCGAAATGGGGGATGTAAAGGGTCGTTGTCAGCCAGGTGGCAGCAAAGAGCTCACAGAACAGTGACAGCCAGATGAGGCAGCAGAGTCCTGAGTCTAGCATGCTGCTGCGGGTGTTTAAAAGGGACCCATCACCTGCAGCAGCAGTGTGTCACTATCAGGGAATCTCCGTAGATGGCAACTTTACTTGTTATTAGTCCTGGGTAGCGCCTACGCTCACAAGCGCAGCTCTCACTATAGAACTACTACCAGTGCTCCTACACATCCATGTGAGGCATCATGAAGAAAAGGCACGAGACAGTGCAGGTAGTTGAACAGGATGAAGCGGAAGCCACAAGGGTGAGGATTGGCCATTGGAAATGTGCAGATATGGTTTCTGCTACAAGCTGGTCTTGTGGATAGTTACGAAGGCAGAAGCACAAGCACAAGCAGAAAGACATTGTAAGGTGATGTTTGGGCTCTATTCAATTCATATAATTGCTAGCTAGAATGCTAGATGCCACATAAATGCACCATTGCCTACTATAACAACATGATTGGGGATTGAAGTTTGAACAGTTTAACTATTGAAGTTTAGAAAACTTGACAAGTTTAGGGGCTAATATGTAATTTCCTTACAAAAATTACACTTCTGCGTAATGGATTATATGATATAAGGACATATTGTCTTTATTTAAACCAATATAATGAAAAATAAATGTGATAAGGATTATAGATTTATTGCCAAATAAGGCTAAAAGGAAGGTTAACATCAGGAACTATACCATCCGACCACGAAATTCAGGGTGTAGAACCCGACTTTTTATTGTCACATATTTACGATCCTGAAAAGCAACAGGTAAACACTGTTATCCATGTGGCTTGAATCATTGCTAATTATAATAATGATGCAAGATCCTGGAACTTTGCAACTGTTTATTTTGTCCATGTGTTCTACAAAAACACAAAATAATTTTCATCATCTTACAAATAGCAAAGTAGGCCTGCTTGATCCATTGCTAACATTTGACCCCAATAAAAGACAAACATTTCTGCATGTACACTTGACAAAATCTGTATGTTTGCTAACTTGCCCAGGGATGGGATGGGATGGGATTGGATCCCATTCAATCCCTGTCAATCCAAGTTGGATGATGGATTCTTGGGGCTGAGATGTTTCCTTAGCCTTACCTTATTTACGGCCATATATTAGATGACCTAGCACCCATGTAACACCTTAGCTACAGTACCTCCTTGATTTCTAGATTCAGATCTTATCTTATGTTACAATGAACTCTAAAGCCCGATCAACAATTTACATGGCAGTGAACTACAATTGACATCAACATTCCAGTCCCAGAGCTTAATGCCCAGGATGACCAACATATAAACTGACCCCAATACCCCACGTTAGAGACCATGAAAAAAAAAAACTTCCAATGGATTCGAAAGGTCCAGGGTGATGTACGTCCATTAAAGTCCTACAGTTACCAGATGGTCTGTATTGCATTTCATGGTTTATGCATCACTACAGGAGTAGCTACATGAGCAACCCAGAAAAAACATGCTGTATGCGCATATTAGTGTGTTCAATGAGATATAGTTCTGGAGATAACAGAGTAGATCTTAGCAATATGGCACCTGCAATACTTTCATTATAGATGCATATGTGGATGGCCTTCCAATTCCAAGTTCTTCTAGCTTTTTAATCTGCAAATACCAAGGAAAAAATGATACATTCTTAAATATATCTGATAAAAAGGAAATATATTTCTATACCAAGCATGGAAATGCCCAGAATGAACAGATAAAAAACCAACATATAGGTTATTACTGACCAATGCACTCTCAGAATAACGTGATGGAGGTTTAGTAAAGTGCTGTGAAAGATGAACGTTAACTGGAGACACCAAGTCCTTAACCTGAGAAAAAGAAATGCAACAGTAACATGCTTATATAGTTGAAAGACAGACAACAGTGCACATTAGCATAAAAAATAGGTCATATAGGAAGTGCATAGTTCAGGTAATTTGACAGCTGCTGACCTCTAATTTGGACAAGGCCTCAAAGTTATCCTGGTGAACAGCATCAACCTCAGAATTGTAACTGGAAGGACTTGCTTCAGTGTCCTAAAAGGATAGCAAATTTTCCCGTTACTGAGTTAAGCAAGCTAAACTGAACACTAGGCACAGAGTTCTTAATAGAAACGTAAGTACTGATCGTTAGATCTCCAAAGGTAACATATTTTCTTAATAGAATATTAAACATAATGATAATCAGGACAGATCCATGCATCTCAGTGAAGATAGAATGCTCAAATAGAAGCTCTCTAGATAATTAAAATGGAGGTAGCACCATGGCACAATCTCGTATGTTCTACAAAATTGGCAATTTCATGTATCAATTACTCATAATAGAATTAGGATTTAGGAAACATAAAAATGGCAGAATCAAAAGAAAATATAGGATCACCTAGTCAGATACTCAGATGTGTGTATCCAATTCTAGCTTAGCAGCGCATATGACAGATAATATAACTCTTTTTTTAAAAAAAGAAAAAACTAGGGTCCACATCAGCCTAAGCCTAGGACTTATCCAAGTTGTCCCAGGATGTCACATGGTCCATATAGGCATACATATAAAAAGAAACAATACTGCAAATATGGTAAAGTCATCTAGCAATGATGTAATCATCCCTTGCACAATGACACAATATGGTCAATATATCATTCAATAGATGGAACATACCATGAAGCCACTGATGCACTGAGAGAAATAGCTTAAAAGAGTGGAAGGCCACAGTAAAAGAATTCAACATATTTCCTTATAAAGTTGAGGCAGGATAAAGCCAAACCTAGGCAAAGACAAGTAAACTATACAGGATTTTCTGAATGTACACAGGATGTGACAAGCATGGATAGAAAAAGTCTACAACTTACATCATATACAGCTTGGTATCCCTTGAAGTCAAGCCTTGATGCAGATGAATGAAAAATCATGTCTCCTTCAGAATTACCAATATCAACTTGAATCTACAATACAATTATAAGAGGTCATACTCTAAACATGAACTTTGATTGAATCTTTTAGATATTGAAAAACTGCATACATCCACACCAAAAGATATCCAGAGAATTTGGCATAATACATGCTAGGGAAAATGGATCCCACTTCTGTATTACAACACCAACATATTATATTTAGCACAAAGGCATGCCCTGCCACTGTATCTGGCCTCTTCGAAGTGCTTGTCAGCAGTTCATAAAGCAAATTGGCTATTATTAAATAGAAGACCAATTACTCATAAGAAATATGGATACATTCAACCAGAATTATGCAAAGCTTAGTCACAGAAATGAAACACTCATCTATGAAAGGAATAAATTTGCTTGGTTACCAATGTTTTTTATTTGATGACATGTCTTTGTGAAACATTTAGGATAGAACCCAAAAGAAGAATTCATACATTCACGAATACTTGACACATTTTGACAATTTATATTAGTCGCAGAAGCTTACAGCTTCTCCAATCAACTGTTTCTTGGGTGGAATTTCGTAGAGTAGCCTACTATATATAATACCACCCAATTTACTTCATTGTTTTCTTCTTCTTGAGGAATCATTAGGTGATTGAATGCATTTGGTCAAATAAATCTAAACCATGCTTTCTATAGTAAGAAAACAATCCATAATCAGAAAAGCAACATGTAAAAGGAATATCAGTAGTAAATAGCCGTAGATAAAATGAGGGGAAAGTGCAAACCATATCAGTTCTAGAAGCTTCCATCTGGCAAGCCATAGTTCTTTTCCATATTAGAGTATACAGTTTCAAAGAATCATCATCAAGTGCTCCGACCAAAGATGCTGTAAGGGATTTTACAACACAACTATGTCAAAAGACAGAAACTTATACAAAGAACTAAATAGTCTGCAGAATTCAAACAAGACCAAAGTTTATTTTTGGCAACCCATAATAACTTTGTAAATTAACAAAATTCATCCTTCAGGCACTTTTTTAATCGTACAGAAGATGCCGACCTCGGGTGAAAATATATTTGCAGCAAATGGAAAAACATTTCTCCCTAAATGAAGCAAAGATGGTCTAAAGTGCAAAATTTAGTAAAACTGTATATGAGGCTGTTTGTAAAACAAGCAAGGAAATGTTAGATGTTGAATAGTGGGAGACATAGTACTGCAAAGAACAGTTCTATTATGCACTAAATTATACAGTACACTTTTAACAGACAACAATTAAAACATTCATACACCACATACCAAAGAAAATATTAGTTATGTTGATATGTTTAAGTGCGATATGCACAAATTCATAAAAGCTTTACTGCCAGCTATACCATCAAACATACCAATTTGAAAGATAAACATGAAACATGTATATTGGTACAAAGCAAAATGGTAGTTTGTTGATCTTTTAAGTCTGATGTGCACTAACTTATATAAGTTCTATTCATATTTCTAATTTTTCAACAGGTTGCTAGTACGATCTATGTAGTAGAGTAGTAGGCATTTGTTACTTCCCTGAAAGTACATCAAAATATTGTAACTACTGAAAGTCATTCAAACAATTAAAAATCCAAGAAGGACAAATAAGTAAGAAAAGCACAATACTTCAAATTTTCTGTATACTAACATTTAGTGTGACATTCAAAGTTTTCGACAGGAAGTGACAAAATATTGGCCACCTATGAAATCTGGAAAATTAGAGGCGACTAGTACATAAGAGATCTCCAATACCCTTTTTTATAACCATGTTTGGTACACAACAAATTTGGTCATTTATATACAATAATTAATTAAATATTTACATTGTGATCTCCACAAGGCAATAGGTATATACTAAATCAAGTCTGAAACCAAATGAAGTTGCTAGATTTTTTTTAGATAATGAAATGAAGTTGCTAGATGTAATGCAGCATCTGTAATCAATAGAACGCAATAATTTGTAAAGAAGTGCAGGTAGATTTCATTACATGGCAACCTCCTTATGCTGGTCGGCCTTATGGCTTCATGCGCTTCTTGAGCATTTTTCACCTTCTTGAAGTATTTTCTAATGCCCTCTGAAGCATATTCCTCACCATACCTTAAAAAGAAGAAGAATGAAGATTGCAAATGACATGATGGAACACATAAAGTTGATTAAAAAGGTAAACTATCAAAATAATGATTGCATGAGACTAGCCCGTTTAGCATTCACCATCCAGTGATGTCCAGTTCAAATTAAAGAACTTTTGTTCGCTTATGTACTACCAAAAGGGCACAAAATTTAGAAAGATACCACTCTCTCACATTTAGTTGAAAACTTAGGCTGTGTTCGGCAGCCAATGATCCCAACTCTCCTCCCTCGTTTTTTGTGCGCACGCTTCCCAAACTGCTAACAGTGTGTTTTTTGCAAAAAAAAAAGATCTATAGAACAGTTGTTTTAAAAAATCATATTAATCCATTTAAAAAATAGCTAATACTTAATTAACCATGCGCTAATAAGTCGCGCCGTTTTGCATGTGCATGGGATTAGTTCCCAACCTAAACAGCAGAATACAGCCTTAATTGTGACCCTTAAGCCCCTACCTCACATGCATCAATTCTCCATTTTGTAATAATAACCATCAATTCCACATGGTGCATCCCACTGCTTCCTCCATGCCCATGGTACATTGATTTCTCACTAGCTAACATCAGCTAATCTCATCCCCCATTCTATAATTCCTCTAGTAGGCTTATCCATCTCAGGCATTTCTACTCATCAGTCATTTCACTTGGTTGAGCGTGGTTGCAGTGGTAACAGCATGGAAATTTCCTATAGAACGTGGGAGTGGCATGAGGGTTCCTTTTGTCAAGTGTACCGTAAGCATGAACTTTTGGATATTTCTCCTTTTACATGCATCTTGATATGGTTGAAGATAATCTCTTACATATGTTTGGGTAAATATAGAAATCTTTACTTAAATCGCCACTGGAATGCCTCTATCTCTTGGATCTGATTTTGCCGGTATTAAACTTGACAACATCAGCATTAAATGAAATGAAATACTCCCTCCATCTACTTTTTATAATCATATTTCATCTTGGCACAATGACCAAGGATAAGTAATTCTACTTATCATCCATTTAAACATGCTACTAGTTATTCCTCGTAAACAAGCGATTCATTAATATTTACATTTCTCGATGCCCATGTAGCCAATCTTGTGTGGAAGAATGGAGAGTCACGCATTAAATCCGAGAAAGTCATTAAGAGGATAGGTGGTTGTATTGAAATATGCCTATCAAAGGTAAATTTTTCAGATTTGGAAATATGCCTATCAAAAGTAGATGGAGTATCTAGTTTGAGAATTGTTCCTTTTAAGCTTCAATTCCCTCTCCATATCCCAATGGTACAATCAGCTAATACATAGTGATAGATCGGTGTTTTTCTAGAGAATGTAACATTTCAATGATAAATAACTGAAACAAAAATATGCCATGGTATTTTTCCTCTGATGGTATGAATTATGCAACCAAAAGTTGTGAAACTACAAATCAGCAAGCAGAGAACAATAACTTTTCTGACTATATAATCAAATGTATCTTTGCAACAACCAAATAGGTAAACATTAATTTATTTGATTTGAATTGAAATAAAGTGGTTCGTAATATACCCATCACATAAGTCCTAAACTACAATGTTCCCAGCAAAAAAAGAAACTTGTTGCCATTAAAACAACGATGAATAACCACGAGAAATGAGCACATTCCCACTCATGAATTGAGAAGCTAGGAATTCAAATTATTAAGTACTACAACAACTAATATGTTAGAAGTGGAACTGTAGATATTAGCACACCTAAACAACAAACAAAAAAAAAACACTTGACTAGATGTTCCAGTAGAGCATACCTTTGCTTCACTAATGAAAGAATATCTTCTGCAGCTCCATCAGATATCTTCAAAGGAAAACATGAATCATACAAGTAAGACAACAATTCCAGACTATCGGAGTACAGCATCATACAAACCAGATCCTCAAGAAATTATTGAATCGGTAATTGACTGAAATTTCTGAATTCTGATATGAAGGGATAGTGAATAGTGCATATAATACATTCATGAACCATTGCATCAGATAATTATAATTGAATAGATATATTTCATATGATTGAATTCTAGTTAGAATTGCTACTGTACATACTCACGCATCCATGAATCAAAATGGCGATGAGTAGCGCTAATTTGAAGGCAGTACTAGGATGAAATAGTTTGCCCCAGAGAGGAGTTAGAACTCATTAGAGCTACCATTTACAGACTGGGAATTAGATGTTGCGGATATGGTGGATTTTTCATTAAGGAAATTGCAAATGTATCCCCCTGCTAGCATGCTTTGATCGTAGGATCAAACTTGATCCTCTACATGAAAAACAAAAGTAAAAAAGACAATTTATCTACTCACTGCCTGAAGTGCAAAAACTAATGAAGACCTCATTATACTTCTTCTCAATGGCATCACCTTTTTTTCATGAGTGTACCACACTTACAAATATAGAATTTGCCACAATCCTGTTATCATGAGCAGCGATTATTGTAGCCTGTGCAGCGCTGAGCTGCTCACATGCCAGGCAGGCTATGCATTCATCATTTCATGTCAGACAATAATTCCAACATCGACATGCCATTGATGCATATGTTAGGACTTTGATATTTTGCACCCAACAGAAATTAACCTACTTTTGAACAAGGCTGTCACAGGATAGCTACATAGGCAACAACCCTATCTCCACAAACCTAGAGCCTCCTCAATGCCACCTCTCACTCTTGAGCACAGAAATACGCACTGCCCTCTAGCACTTTGATACCACTGACAATGAAGACAGAACAACGTCCCTACGCTCTTAGAGAATAAACACTGCCTCCTATCTCCTAGACTCCCTCAGTCTCATTGTCAGGATTCTTTCAATGGCATTAACTGTTACAATAACACAAGTATTTCGGCATGGCATGCCAAAATGATCTGCTGCACCAATGGAAGAGTCTTTTAGGCACTGGAAAATTAGTTTCGTGGCAGAAAGTATTTGGTATAAGTATAGAAGAGCAGCATGGCGTAATGCTTTATAGTTTATACCTTATAATCTCAAAAGGTAATCACGCGTGCTTTTATATATAGTGGGAGGAAATTGATATTTTAATGTGGATGACCATTTTAACCCATAACCATGGATATGGGACCAGATTAATATTTATGCTATCGATACTAGACAATGCTGATTTGATCGTAAAGGAAAGGTAGGATGACACCTACATGAAAACCATCTGTTCGGATGTATGTAATTAACCCAGTTGCTTCCTCAGAGGAAAGGTTAATCCCCTCATAGAGCTTTTGGGCTACCTGCAATCACATTGAACTATGTGAGCGAACAGATAGCTATATCTAAATTGCATTACTATAATAGGTCAGTAGGAAATCTCATATACGCATTTAAGATTTAACTAACAACCTTCATGGTATACCCAGCACTAAAATGTAGTTTGTTTGCTGCGTCCTGCTGAAGGCTGGATGTTATATATGGCATAGGAGGATTCTTGTTAATTTTACTTCTCTTAATTCCTGTTACTTCAAATTGGGATGAATAAATCCTCTTTTCTATATTGTGTGCTTCTTCTTGAGAGCGTATAGAAAGCTGATCCAACTTTTTTGAATTAAGATGCTTTATCCGGGATTGAAGGTTAAGGCCATTTGAAGGGCCAGAATGTTGGGTTTTGAAGTCCGTATCAACAGTCCAGTACTCCTGCGGATCAAACTGTTCTATTTCAGCCTCTCGATCACACACAAGAGCCAATGCCGCAGATTGGACTCGTCCAGCTGACTGGCAACCAGGTAGCTTCCTCCATAACAGTGGTGATATGCCAAACCCAATCAAATAATCAAGGGAACGGCGTGCTAGATAGGCATTCACTAGGTCCATATCAATATATCTTGGAGATATTAAAGCCTTTTTAACAGCATCCTCTGTTATTTCATGAAAGACAACTCTTGCAACAGTAACTTTTGAACCCAATGCGTCTTGCTGTTCGAGCATTTCTTTGATGTGCCAAGCAATTGCTTCACCTTCACGGTCAGGATCAGACGCAAGAATCAAATTTTCTGCCCTGAAGAAGGAAAAGGACAAAGCAATTATAACAACAAAAAAAAAGAGAGAGATGCACTTAATAGTGCAGTGGCAAGGGGGGTGTGGTTTCAACCCCGAGGTCCCGTGTTCAATCCCCAATACACTCACAAGTTATTCTTAAAATAATGTTTGGAGGGACGTCTCTCCCTCCAAATCTTTTTTTTTACAACAAAAAAAAACCATTAGTTTGCTAATATCGCATAGCAAAAGAAGTCAATCTTGCTCTAGACATATTGAACTAATAAGAAAATGTACATTTTATACTGTTATCTATAGTATAAGCATAAGACATATATAAAGAGAAAAGGTAAAGTTAAGTATGGTGATATTGGTATTTGGTATTTCACGATAAAAGACATTTTGGAGCCAAACTTCTAATATAACTTATGAAGCATACATGCAACTGATGTTACCCGAAAAGTATGTGATTGCGTGTTTCTTTACCTTTATAACAAGGCTTAGTCAACATCTAATAATTGTGTCCCTTAATGTGCTTCGTGTTTGTGAAAATGAGTATGTATGAAGACATTTTGAGCATGGTGACTAGAACCTGACCAACTGGGTCAAGGAACAGGAAAGCAGGACAAGGGTGGTGGAAATGTGGTGACTGAAAATGTGGATTGTGGGGGTAAGTTTTATTCAGGACAATTGTTTACCCGGCAAGTACTGCCTGTGTACCACCAATATTGGCAGCTACTATTGATTAATGATGTCAATTCAAGATTTCAAGGTCACAGAACATGACAATGATAGACAACCGTAGCGACAATGGTTTGGAAGCACCTTATTATTAAAAGAGGCAAACAAGCATGTATTTCATGTTAAAAACTGAAAATGCTAACCATACTGCATTATCATACCCTTTTAACGCCGTTCTTATGCTCTTAAGATGTGTCCAGGCAGCAGCAGGAACCTCCCACACCATACTGAAGTCATCATCAGGACGAACAGATTTTGATCTTCCAGCTAAATCTCTCACATGGCCATAACTAGGTAACACTTCATACATGTCCCCGAGGTATTTTTGAATTACTTTTGCTTTTGTTACTGATTCAACAACAAGAACTGATTTAGCTGTGGGAGGGTAAAGAGGAACAAGTGGCTTCTGCTCACTAACAGAGGTCATCGTACAAATCTCAGCTTTAGCTGTCGCGTTAGAAGCAGCAGATTCCTTCGCTTTTGAAGATTTCTTCGACCTGCTTGATGTCTTCTTCTCTTTAGAACTATCGGCAGCCTTTTTTGATTTGGAAATGTCAGACTTGCTTTCTTCTTGGTTGACCCCAATTTTCCTGCTCTTTGTTGCTGCTGTACTAGTTTTAACAGATTTCCTCTGTTTCTTAGTAGATGCCTTCTCTTCTTTCATATCTTCACTAGCTTCCTTTTTTCTGCTTGTTGGACTTTTCCTCCGGGTAGTAGTCTTTTTAGTACCAGTACCACTCTTACTGCGTTTGCTAGTTGATGTTGAAGCCTCATCAGTGATGGTGCCACAAGCAGCCAATGTGCTTTTCCTTTTCTCAGATCTATGAAACATACTGTGTGCAACACTCCCATCTTCCTTTCGCATATTTGGATTACCAAATAAGCACTTGTTTCTGATGGGAAAAGTTACCTTTGTGTTGCGCAGGGTCAAAAAGGACCGTGAATTACGAATATTGTTCGCCCTCAAAGAAATCCCATGCCTATATGCAGCTCTCAGACTTACAAAATTAGGATTGCCCATGAGCCCAGTAGTAAAAAAGGCACCACTTTTGAGCTGCAGGGGAAGACGGGAGCCGATTGAAGACAGCTGCCTTGATGAATTATTACTTAATGAATAAGGCATAAAGTTGTAAGAACATCTCTGAGATACACCAAATTGAAGCTGAAAAGGTAGCACGTAGCCAACATTTAGAGAACAAGCAAAACTCTGAATGGCATAGGCATAATCACAAGTGCGACACAGAAGCAGAATTCTTTGATACGTTCCAAATAGTTTTATGACACCGATATACCGCAACTTTAGTAATATACCATGGAGGAAGATTCCAGTGTAGCTAGATGCTACCTTTGTTTTTTAACATATGCCGCCATTAACATTTTATTTCATATTTGACCACTCGTCTTATTCAAAAAATTCAACTAGATATATATTTTGTTTTGTTTTGTTGTGGCTTGATTTAAGCAATACTTACATTCTTAAGATTTCTAACCAAAAAAATTTGAATAAGATGAATGGTTAAAGGGTATAACATAAGTCAACGGCGTCATCATATATATATTAAAAAAACAAAAAAAAGGGTGTACCATTGAACGTTGGGAAGGTCTAGATATTTAGCATTACATCAATTCCTGTCCTTACAGCCAAAAAATCAAAGGGGTAGAAGAGGATGGGGGCACTTACCATGGCCGTAGGCGCCCCCGGCGGCGGCGGCAGGGCGAGGGAGGCGGCGTGGCCGGCGTAGCGGTGCGGGATGAGGCGGCGGAGCTGGAGCGCCATCGGGAGGGGAGGAGAGAGCGAGAGGCGGAGGCGCGGCCGCGGGCGCACGCACTCAGGCGAGGGGGGTGGCTTGGGCTAATCGACTAATGGCTGTGATTTAGCTAGGGTTTTGGAGGAGGGGGATGAGGCCGCGCGGCCTCGCTTGGGATGGGATGGGATGGACATGGGAGCCCGTCTTGGGGTACAAGGTAGGCATCAGTGGGCCGGGCCGAGAGGATGGGCTTCGGTCGGAAGCCACAGGCGTGTTGGGCTGTGGGGGCAGGAATTGGGCTGAGAATTGGGGGTTTGGATTTTTATTTTTTTCCTGCTGTTTGGATATTCGTTTGGAATTGGAGTATTATGGGCTTTGTCTCCCACTGAATTGAGATAGAGATAGGGATTTAAGTGGGCAGACCCGTAAACTTAATTATAGTACAAATAATTAGGTTACTCGATAGGCTATCCGCTTGTTTGTACTATTATATATAGGTTTACGGGTTATCCGTTTGCACCCTTAGATAGACTTGTTTAACTTTCGAGCCAAGCCTGACATTTTTGTCCACCTATCTATTGTAGGACAACCCCTGATGATAACTAAAAAAAATCATAGTTCACCAGCTTCTTTCATCTATGCACTCTACCTGAGGTCCTCCCATCAAAACCAATCAGCTAGCTCTCTCAACCGCCACCCTCTCACACAAGAAACGTACTGCATCTGCCATCACCCTCTTTATCTGAGTATTCTTAGTTCCAAAATTTCATGATCTGAAGTTGTGATTACATTAATACTATTTCAGATGGATCATTTTGTTCTTTATAGGATATAAAATGTAAAATTTAAAACCACTGTAATTTAACTTACAAACTTCAAATCCAGCACAGATTTATAATTTGGAGTGGTACATATTACTCTCATATTTCTTATAGAAGCCGGCCTCCTCCCCACCTGTCGGCCAGCCTGTCTAGACAAGAGGAGTGAGAGACAGAGGAGGAAGGAAGACTCCAACCTCGGCGTGGCGGCCTCCTTTCCCGCATCGCGGCCATCGTAGCTGCCGCCGATTCCTCCTCTCCCGCCTCGGCATCTGTTGTCCCTGCAAGTGAGCCCAGCGCCGCTGCTGCAGGAGAAGCTCATGGCGACATTGTACCCGTCAATCACTGACAGGTCGTAAAAGTCCTGGCTGCCACCGATGGTGAACTCCGCCGGCGTCATCGGTGGCCGCCCCGGAGAGGCTGCATGACAGCGAGCCACCGTAGTCACCGGTGGCGCAACTGCCCATGCTGGCACCGTTGAAGTTGTTGCCGTTGTCGTGTCGCCGACCGCCAGACCTCCTCTCCCCTCTCGCCCCAATGACCTCCTCCCCACCTGCCGGCCGCCTTGCCCAGAGAGGAGAAAAGTGAGAGAGAGAGAGAGAGATTGAGAGAGAGAGAGGAGGAGGAAGAGGGAGGAGGGGGAAGAATGAGGGTGCTGACGTGGCATCCTAACATGTGGGTCCCACGCTGACTCAGCCACCACGTCGGACAAAACCGAAGTCAAAACCACCAAAGGACCTAAAGTGAATAATTTTGTAAGTTGAGGGATGTCATATATCTGGTTTTGCGGTTGGGGATGATTTTGTAATTCGATGACAAGTTAAGAGACCTTCAGTGTACTTTTTCCTTTTGGATATTCGTGGAATTTGGAATTGGAGTATTATGGGCTTTGTTTCCCACTGAATTGGGATAGAAGTGTAAGCGGGCAGACCCGCAAACTCACTTATAGTACAAATAATCGGGTTAACCAATGGGCTACCCGCTTATTTATATTATAAGTAGGTTTACGGGCCTACCAGTTTGCATCCTTAGATCTCTACTATTATAAAAATTGAAGATGTTTTCGTGGTCCGTCATCTGTGTTTGAGTCGGTTATAAAAATTGAAGATGTTTCCGTGGTCCGTCATCCGTTTTTGAGTCGGTTTTAATTTTATGTTTTGGTTTTAATCTATATCTCTTCTCTTCTCTACTATTATAAAAATGAGTAAAATACATGGTCGGTCCTTAAAGTTGAGCGCGGGTGTCACTTAGGTCTATAATCTTGTAAATTGCACATCTAGGTCCACCATCTTGTTTAATAAGTGACTCATTAAGGTCCAAACCCGGTTTGACCAAAGCTGACCATCTACATTGCATTCCACGTAGACAGCTCATTTGCAAATAGCCCCTTCGCGCTTCAGTAGAGCCCTGGGCACCAAAAAAATCCCCAAATCCCTCAGCTGCCTCCGTCGTCACATCGCCCACCACCGCCGCACGTCATCCTCATCGTCAGCCCCTTCGCCGGTCACGTCATACCAATGGCTGAGCTGATGCGGCGCCTAGTCGCACACCATGGTTGCGCCGCCTCGCTTGTCACGTTCTCCGGCCTCGCCTCGCCAACATCAGTGTCCTCCGTCGCTGCTATCATGGACCTCGATGAAGCGACACATGATTGCCAACGACGCAGTATTAGAGGGGACGAAGCGAGCGGCGGACGAGCTCGAAGATCAGGACGCCGCGCTGTCGTGGACCTCAAATCCTTCTTGACGAATGGCCGGCGGGCAGAACGGTGGAGGGCAAGCGCGGCGGCGGGATGCGAGCGGAGCGGCGACGAGCGAATGCGGCAGCAGTTGGCGGGTGGTGCAGGGAACTAGAGGAGAGCTTGCGGAGCGCCGTCACCGTCTTTGTAGCTAGCGTGCCGATGGCACTCGTGCCTCACTGATGGCCAGATCAACCGGTCTCCCTTCCTGCTGATCGTTGGTGCTAGAGGCGTCGGTGAGCTTGGCGCGCGCGGGGGAGGTGTCGCCGGCCACGCCCTGGGGAGGGGTCGCCTACCGCGGCCGCGCGTGCGGGGGAGGCGTCGGCGAGCTCGGCGTGAGCTGGGCGGGTGCGAGCTCCATGGCGGCAGCGGGGCGGCAAGGCGAGCTTGACTTGAGCAGCTGCCGCAGCCACTTGCCGCATGCACCCACGGCTGGCTAGAGCAGGGGCCTTCCCCTTCCCCTGCTCCTTCTCCTTCCCATCGACGACGGCGAGCGGCTGCCGGAGGGGTATGAGGCGCGTCACCAGGCGCAGCGTGGTTGAGACAGGTGGGTGCCGCAGGTGTGCATGCTGGCGCACGTCGCCGTCGACGCGTTCCTGCGTGCGCCACGCAAAGAAGGGATTGGATCAGACACGGGGAATCAAAAAGGGGGGCAAAATGCAAATATGTTGTCACGCTGGACCGCCACGTAAGCCAATCAACCCGGTCAGAGATCCTTTGGACCTCAATGAGTCACTTAAACAAGATGGTGGATCGAGATGTGCAATTTACAAGGTTATGGACCTAAGTGACACCCGCGCTCAACTTTAAGGACCGGCCGTGTATTTTACTCTATAAAAATGGAAGATGTTTCCGCGGTCCTTCATCCTTGTTTGAATCGGTTATAAAAATTGAAGATGTTTTTGTGGTTCGTCATCCGTGTTTGAGTTGGTTTTAATTTTATGTTTTGGTTTTAATCTATATCTCTTCTCTGCTATTATAAAAATTGAAGATGTTTTTGCCGGTATTTTGATACGTCATCCATGTATAAGTCGGTTTTTAAGTTCGTTTGCTTTTGGAAATGCATGTCCGTATTTGAGTCGGTTTTTAAGATCATTCACTTTTGATAATACAGAAGGAATCATATAAGAAATATGTTTAAAAATACTCGCATGCTAACTTGAGACGATCGGACACCTAACTAGCTCATGATTTTCTAAAAGAGCATATATATATATATATATATACATACATACATACATATATATATATATACATACATACATACATATATATATACATATACATACATACATATATATATACATATACATACATACATATATATATATATATATTACATATATATATATATATATATATATATATATATATATATATATATATATATATATATATATATATATATATATATTCAAGCGAACTCCCACAGTGAATTTCATCTTAACTAAACCATATAACAATAATAAGATTAAAATAGACTTCTCCCGTTGCAATGCATAGGTATTTTTTCTAGTTGAATTGTTAAGCTTTCGAGCCAGGCCTAACATTTTTGTCCATCCGTCCGTCTCCATAGTATGGAAACCCCTGATGATAATAACTAAAAATAAATAAAAAAAGTTGTCATCATAGTTCAGCAGCTTCCTTCATCTACTGTCCATGAGGTCCTCCCATCAAAACCAATCAGCTAGCTCTCTCAACCGCCAACCTCTCACACAAGAAAGGTACATCGACCAGATCACCCTATTTGCAACTGGTTCATATTTTTTTTCTTCATCTAAGTATTCTTAGAATTGTAGTTCCAGAATTCCATGATCTGAAGCTGTGATTATATTAATACTATTTCAGATAAAATATAAAATTTTGAATCACTATGATTTAACCTACAAATTTCAGATCTAGCACAGATTTATAATTTGGAGCGGTACGTATTACTCTCGTATTTCTTATAGAAGCATTTACGCTTTTGTGTGGCTATCCTACCTACCATGTGTCTCCTTTTGACTACTCCCTCTGTCCAGGATTATAAGGGAGTATTCCCTTTTTAGCACTAAGTAAAGAAGATAAAGAAGTACATGTGTGGAAATAGGAGTATGGAAGTAGAGTAGTAGGCATCGAGCTAGTTAGGACAGATGCGGGTGGATGGGTGGTGGGGAAACTTTTCAATGCATAGGACAGAGTCAGACACATGGATAAAATGGATGGCTACTGGTGTACTTTACTCCTCGAAAACTCAAAGTACACTACATTGGAGGAGAAACTGTACTACATATTCACCAAGGCTATCTAGATAGAAGTTGGATGTGAGAGACCAATGGCTGAGAGAACTCATCACCAAATCAACCTCACCTCATCCACACCCAACCCATCAATCAAAAGATGGTTCCCCTTTCATGATATATATATCCTCAAACCTTGCATAACATAGTATACAATAGAGTACATTTTTCCTTCATGTAGAAACAAGCAACATACATATATAGAGCAAGTACAAGGCAGAACAGAACTATGAACAGAGCAGTGGAAGGCATGCATAGTACTACGCAAGCACCGGTACGTACATATGTACCAGCTTTATTTAATACAAACACTTGTGATGAGTGCATGCTTGGTGCTTCGCCTCTACTCGGCAATTGAGACTTGTTCATCTCCATGTGTTATCACAGCAGCTACAGGTGCCCAGATCACGCTGTCCCTGCTAACGAAGTGGCACACCGACGCATCTCCCGGCCTGAGATTGTGCTCGACGAACAATGGAGTCTTGGGGTCAAATCGTGACGTGTCCAGGTGGCACACGGCGAGCGCCTCCATCTTCTCCGGTGTGCCGCTGCCGCTGCCGCTGCCATCCTCCTCGCTCTCCAGCACCACTGCGTACACTCGGGTAGGGTTGATCGCGTGGCAGTAGAACACAGCGAATGGGAACCTCATGGTGTGGCACGTCACGGTGTCCCCCCTTAAGCCCGCGACTGTTCTTACCGCTACCACCTTGTACATGTTTCCTGGCATGATCCCCTCTGGGGGGACATCGGGGGAGAAGGCACGGAGGTCACGTGTTCCGAGCACAGACATAGCGAACTCAACCACCGACTCGATAGACGTGGCACACGCACGTTCTTCTCCCTTGATCGGGCGGTGGTGCTCACAAGTGTCCAACGCCGATTGTATACCGTCGGCCATGACGAGGGATATAGGCGAAAACATTGCCAGAATGTCGGCAAAGTTCTTTGTACTCACTGGGATTGAATCCGCAATGTCCCGGCGAAGAAAGGGAGCACGCGTGGCTATCCCCGTGATGTAGGGAGTGATTATGGATCCCGGTTTCAAGGCATCCTCTAGGAAATGGAGGTTTGCCTTGTGAAAATAGCCATTGGAATAGCCATTACTGTAGGAATGACTATATCCATTAATGTAGCCGCCGTCATATCCGTTGCCATAAACTTGATCATAGCCATTGCCATGAACACCTTGATTAACATCTGCAATGAATAATATAAGCATGTGAATTTACCCGAACCATTAATGTAAAATCCACTGGTATGGCTGGAAAAAAATTCATGCCATTGGATTATATTACAGGGTAAAATCCCATAATTAATCTGGCATGAGATGATGGATTTCTATTGAACTCCATAGTTTTCTCTCTCCCATAATTAATCTTGTACTAGTTTTTTCTCTCCCTAAATCACAACTTGTGGCTGTGAACTTTGCTTGCGTCCATACTAAATGGTCTATGGAGTTCAACAAATTTATGCATACTTATTATCCATCATTAAGCTTGTTTAGGCTCGATCTAGAAAATCCGGTTTGTACGTAAGTAGCATCAGGGAGAGAGAGAGAGAGAGAGAGAGAGAGAGAGAGATACCAGTAGGAGGGTTCAAAAGCTCGAGTATAGCTGTTGGCATTGGAGAGTGGGGAAGCATCTTCTGCCAGTATGCTGTTACCATAGATGCAGGATTTGGCAGCTCTACCCGTTCCACTCCCACCAAATTTCTAGCCTCTATCGCAACCTGTGCAAATCATCCATTGCTATAACAGATTGTGATATGGAACACCCTATCTGTGGAATATAATATTGCGATAATTAATTTTCGCACCTCAATGCTGTTTGTGTACTCGCACACATGCACTTCAATATATTCAATTAATGTTAGGTTTAACGAAACTAATTTAGTGTTATGAGAGTTACTATATTTGATAAGATTAAAGTTACAAAAGTTTGAGTTAGAAAAAAAAGTCAAAGCATATAGGGGAGGGAATGGTATGTACAGTATATAGCTAGCTTTGATTGACATGATACACTCACCAGAAGGATGAAGATCAAAAGTGACAAAAAGGCTGTCATGTTGCTTAGCTTCATTGTGCTATGAGCTAAGCTAGCTTAGCTAACTCAACTGAATGTGCTGGCTAGCTAGCTGCTCCGTTGCTTGCTTTGCTCTTGGCTGCCAAGGCTGGTCCTATTTATAAGCTCGGAAACATACCTTCATTTCTCAATCTTATTAATTACCATCCGATGCAATAATTGCACTTGGCATCGATCAAATTATCATTTTGTGGCGGCATATATATCTGCTTGTAGATTCCAAATTATCAGTTGTGTAGGAGAAGAAGTAACTGGTCTGGCCATTGATAAATTCAAGTCATTCTATATATATGTCGCAACCTTAAGGGTATGTTTGAGGAGAAGGGCCATCGAGATGATTGGGAAGATACGCAAAACGAGGTGAGCTATTAGCTCATGATTAATTGAGTATTAACTATTTTAAATTTCAAAAATGGATTAATATGATTTTTTAAAGCAACTTTCCTATAAAAAATTTTTACAAAAAACGAACCGTTTAGTAGTTTGGTAGTTTAGGAAACGTGTGCGCGGAAAACGAAACAAACAAACTCACTCTCTCACCCTCTCGAACGCTGCCTAAGTCATCACTAAGATTGTTATCTATTCATTCGCGTGTATAGGTTGCCAACCGAATAAACGCCAAAACATAAGGCGCTGTAACTCTGCATATATAGCTGAAAAATGTGCTGCTTCAGTATATGCATATCTGTAGCTTATTTATTTTAGTTCAAATATTTATTTTAGCTTTTTTATTTTAGGACCCAGCACCGCCCCTCCAACCTCCACTTCCTTCTGCCCCCCCCCCTCCCGGCCACCTCCCCCACCTCACCGTAGAGGAGAGGGGGGGGGGGTTCAGGAGGAAGCGTCAGATCTTCCTCGGCGCGGTTCAGCGGTGGCCGCCTCATCCCTTCCCCGACACGGCGGATGTATGATTTTTGATTTTTTTTTATTCAATTTCTGTGACTCAATTTCTTGATTTGTGGATTTGTGGTGCTATGTGATTTGTGTGGCAGATCGATGATGGATGTGTGATCTGTGATTCAAGCTCTTTGATTTATTTTTTGTGATGTGGGATGGATGGGTTTGAATTTCTGTGATGTGGGACTCGTGAGCTACTCAATTTAAGCCGATGCATCCAAGCCTCTTTTTTTTATTCATGGAATCTCAAATGTGTTGGTTCCTAAACCGGCACCGGCACCTGAACCGGTACCTATTTCTCCTCCACATCAGTGTTGCCTGCTGGATGCTGGTTGAAAAATCTAGCAAAGAAGAGGGTTTCCCACCGGCACCAATACCTTTTTCTATACTACTGACTAGATTTACTTGAGTTTAGCTGAATACATTGCTTGCTGCTAATTAACTCAATCCTTACATGCTTTCTCCATTGAAGAAACGACTCCTCAGGGTGTGTTTGGTTCACAGTCATATATATATGGGATATGTTCATTCATATTTTGTTGGATATGGCAATCCAATTTTTTGTTTGGTTTGTATGACCAAATTTTTTTGTTTGGTTGGAGGGATATAGCATGTATGAGTAAAGCCAAAAGTTAGTGGGACCCATTTGTCATATATTTTTTTCTATCAAAATATAATCATCCAAGATCTTGTTTTAAAGATTTAATTGTAACAAATATAATGGTGTAATCAAATCATAAATTAGATAAACGGTTTAAGATTATTTGGAGCTTGCTTAACAGAAAATCAAACCAACCACACCCAATCAGAATAGGACACATTATTCAGACCAAAACTGGATGGCTTCTTCCAGCCAAATCTGCCGGATACACTCATCCAACATATTAAGAGAATATTCTATATTCCGGGCGGCCCCAACCACCCTGCCCTCCAACCAAACGGCACCAAAAATCGGGCGGCCATCTCCCATCTAGGCTCATCCACCCAGCCAAACACACCCTAAATCCACAAAGCATGCACACGTCTCCTTGCTCTCTCTCCCATGGAATAGAGTAGGGCCCCGTTTGGGGAGCTTAAGATTCTGAAGCCCTCTTTGTTTAGGCTTAGGTTTATTGGCCTAGACTTTTAAGTCAGCTTATTGGCTTATATGATTTATAAGCCGGTAGATTTAATGTCCTAAGTTTAGTGGTTGAGTCATACATCTACCTCACATAAGCCAAAAAAGCTTCTCCAACCTAGCTTTTGGCTTAATAGTGTTAGAGTGGCTTATGGCTTCAAAAAAAGCCAAACGGAAAAGCTGATTGTTTGTTTAGGCTTAGACTTTTCGACTTATAAGTTGGCTTATAAGCCTAAACAAAGAGGGCATGAGAATCTGCTGGTTGGTAGCCAGCTTCTAAGAATCTGGAGAAGCTGGGTTTTCCAGCTTCTGGGTTTTGATTCATTTCCTGGATTCTACAACTACAAATTGTGAACTGGTTGGGGGAGTTGGAGATTCTGGGAGAAACTGCAGCAGCTAAAAACTCCTCAAACAGGCCCTAGATCCTTAACAATGTCCGCAAGGTACGGTCATTCCGGCTCACCGCAAGATGTTGGCAACCCATTTCTCAAAACATTAACACTAACACTTTAATTGTGCATGAACGCCAAATTATCTAGATTGTTTTGCCGGCCAGCCAATTACACTTCAAATTAGCAGTTGTGTAAGTGAGGAAGAAACTAACTACGACATTGATAAATACCAGAAGTCAACCATACATGACGCTCCAGCAGAGTGGAGGAGGAAATATATATATTCCATTCCCACTGATTCCATATGATTTTGAAATATCTGTATAGAAAGACCTGTAATATAAATAGCCATGAGGTTATTTGGACCGTTTCATAGTATAGTGGTTAGAGGGACCCAATGTCCAAGGGGTCAAACAGTCTTTTCCCGGTAATTTGTGAGTGAAATAAATTAAATAATGTGAGCATAATAAGCTTAATTGGTAGTTGCTCTCCCATGGAGTTCATTGGAGAACTATTGAATATTTGAATGTATATAGAACTGACCTGACAATGCACAGTAGAGTAGTTAGCATTATAGGAAAATCATTTTTCTTATAACATGTAGTACAATTAAATTCCATTGTCCAAGAGAACCGTTGACTTCTAGACTGAACCATCAAGGAGTACTAGCTAAAGAGCACAATAACATGTCAAGTTAGCCAAGTCTTTCTGAATTGAGCGTGAGATCACTCTTTTTCTTTTCATTTTTATAGTGCTCCTCTGGTGCGCGTTATTGTGTTCTAGGACGTGTTTGGTTGATCTAGCTAGATGTGGTCCAAAATACTTAAAAAATGATCTTTATATACCTCTCATTTATTTTTTCAAGTGGTAAAAAAAATATGTTTGTCAAAAGTATTAGAGGTGCCTTGTAAAGGCTTGCTTGTAAAAATTAATTTTCGTAGGTTAGCCTCTTAAGAGAGCCGAAGTGGGCCTCTTAATTGCCTGCCTGTCGGTGCACACACTACATGGCCCATGTGATGGGAGGGATGGGAGGGACGGATCTGCAACCTCCGGTCATAGGAGTGGTGACTTCGAGCGTGGCGGCCTCCAAGGCGTGGATCTGCCGCCACCAAGCACGGGAGTGACAACAACGAGTGCGGTAGCCTGAGGGGTGTGAATCTGTCTCAATCGGGCACATGAGCAGCGATGAGGAGCCCGATGGTTCCAAGAGCATTGATCTATCACTGCCTACCCCGAGAGCGGGTGGATTTCTGGCCACCGGGCACGGGAGTGGGCAACTGATGATCGCATTGGCCTTGGGAGTGACAACGACCGCTGTGGCATCGGTGGCGTGGATTTGCCGTTGCGGGCCATGGGAGTAGTAGACGACGAGCAAGCATCCTCGATAGCGCCAATCTACTGCCGCTGGCCCTGGGAAGGGCTAATCTGTGGCCATCATCATGGGAGCGGCGACTGACGATTGTCGGGGCCTTTGGAGCAGCAATGACGATGATCACCGGGCACGGGAGCGGCACCCACTTCATGCGGATGGCATAACGCACCCGCTTGCAAAAAAAAAAAAACCGTTTTTGCGTGCAGTGGGACTGCCTACCTATGAAATTTTTAATTTTTACACACCTGATAGCTGGCGTTGCTACACCACCAACGAAAATATATTTTTGCCGTTTGTAATAAACACTGTTATGTAACAGTGGCCTAGCGTGACTTTGTATCACCAAACTTGGCTTTTGTCCTACTTCCTCCGTTTCACAATGTAAATCATTCTAACATTTCCCACATTAATATTGATGTTAATGAATCTAGATAGATATATATGTCTAGATTCATTAACATCAATATAAATGTGGAAAATACTAGAATGACCTAGAATTACTTACATTGTGAAACGGAGGGAGCACTTTGCATGTGATTAGCTATTGTGTGTTTGACTACATGCGTTTGCATAAGCCTGCTGAAGATGATATATGTTTGGGAGCACGGTAAAATGTGGTTTGGGAGGGAAACCACGCAAGGAAGGGAAGCAACATCATCGCGTTTTCGTCACCCACGCGCGAGGTAGACCTGCGGGGAACAAAAACTATGAAAGGGGGAACGGACGATGGAGTTGTTTGTTTATTCTCAATTCAACATAGTTGTGTCCTGTTTTAATAGGCCTGATTGACAAGCTTCTAAATTTAACTCCAAAGAGTAGTCTGAACTCTGAAGCGGAGCGGCCCAAAAACCTCTCTAGTTCATGTTTTCAAAATCATTATAGCATGTTTAACTTCCCTTTTGGATAAATCGGAAAGTGGAGTTAACTAGTGAGATATCAGCATTTTAGCTAGAAGAACGTGCAAATTTTTAAGAAATTAACGTACTCCTAGGACGTCCTAGCCAAGGACAAATTGCCTGAATAGGATCTTACAACTGAGTCGTGTGGATGGCAATATAACACGCGCATTTGTAAACTGTAGAAGTAGCTTAAAGTAAAAAAAAAAAAAAAACTGTACAAGTAGCAGGCCTAAATTTCATTTTGGATGGTGCACACGCGCAAATTCATGAAATCGAAGTTTAATGGCCGAAGCTATGTCAAGTTAACGAACTCACTTCACTTGCATATATAGAATAAGTTCACTTTAACTCCCTCAAAAATATAGGTCCCTGATTTGATTCGTATCCCTCATCTGTAATACCAGATACCTTAACCCCCAACAATAAAACCAGTGCAAAATAACTTTCAAGATGATTTTGAGAGCAGTTTTCGCTGACGTGGTTCATTGACCTAGTCTAACCAGCTGAGTTAGTACGGCCCATATGTTAGTGACTCCTCTTCTCTCCTCTATCCTCTTCAACTCTGAGGAGGAGCTCGCCCCCAATTTTGCCACCGCCTGGGTCTAAGGACGCCGACAACGGAAGCTGGAAGCCGAGCCATTGCTAGGTCGTCGCCACCTTGCTACATAACACGGCCACAAACGCGTCTTCTGCATTTGTGATCGTGCGATGTAGCGGGGCGGCGGCGACCTACCCTCGCCCTAGCTCAACCAAGGGCGGAGCTAGAACGAAATGGAGGGTGGTGCCACTTGCTTAATTTACTTTACTTTAGAACAAGTTTAAGCAGATAGAGGTGCCTAAGTTTGTATCGAGGGAGGTGCATACATGGTGAAGATAGATGATGTATAACTAAAAAATTTTCTTTGACCAGGTTCCTGGGCGCCCTCCTAGTATACTCTACCTCTGCCCCTGAGCTCAACGGCGCACATCTCTCTATGGGCAATGGTGGTGCCCTGCCTTGCCGATGTCTCCAACCGTTGTCCCTCCGCTCAAGCATCATTGGCGTTGACGTGGTGTCCCGTATGTTGCAAAAAGAAGGTTGGGGGCGAAACTCCCAGTTGGCGATTGATCGCCAGGATTGATCGGTTTCCCCCCTCTCCTCCACGTGGTTTCCTTTTCTTGGCACCGCATTACTTTCCTATTTTAGTAAATTTATACACCTAAAGTTTATACACCTCAAGTTTACACATCTAAAGTTTACACACCCAAGGTTTATAAATTAAAAGTTTATATATCCGATTCAAATTTGAATTTGAATTCAAATATTTTTTTATATATAGTATTTCTATACATCTAAAGTTTATACACCTAAAGTTTATAGACCCAAAGTTTATAAGTCAAAAGTTTACATACCCGATTCAAATTTGAATTTGAATTATATTTGATTCAAATTTGAATTTGAATTCAAATATTTTTTATATATAGTATTTCTATACATCTAAAGTTTATACACCTAAAGTTTATAGACCCAAAGTTTATAAGTCAAAAGTTTACATACCCGATTCAAATTTGAATTTGAATTATATCCGATTCAAATTTGAATTTGAATTCAAATATTTTATTTATATAGTATTTTTATACATCTAAAGTTTATACACCTAAAGTTTATAGACCCAAAGTTTAAAAGTCAAAAGTTTACATTCACGATTCAAATTTGAATTTGAATTCAAATATTAGTTTATAGACCCAAAGTTTAAAAGTCAAAAGTTTACATACACGATTCAAATTTAAATTTGAATTCAAATATTTTTATATATAGTATTTCTATACATAAATTTTTCCAACTTTTTTTTAAAAAATTTATAGTGTAGTAGGAAGAGAAGAAGGGGACGAGAGGAGAGGTGTGTACAGGGGGCATGGGGATCGATCGCTCGGAGCGAGCGATCGCCCATTAGCCACACCCGGTTGGGGGTTTGGGGGGGGGGGGGTGGAGAGGTAAGCAAGAGAGGAGAAAGAGAAGGAGGTGCTGAAATGCAGGTTTCACATGCTGACTCAGCCAATAGATCATATCAACGAACCATGTCAGTAAAATTCACCTTCAAAACCACTGAGAAAACCATTATGTATGGTTTTAATAATTAGAGATAAAAATATATTGTATTATGGTTAAATGATACGAATCCAATTGGAGACTCAAAGTAGACTTATTTCCATATTGACCTCAACATAATTCACTTTTGGGCACATTTCAGCAAGTATTTTTATCGGTCCATTATTTCCAACAAAATTTAAGTCCAAACCCACGAAATTTAGTTGCAGAAAAGAATGGAAAAGTCCAAGAGAATCCACGTCGCATCAAAGCCATTGCCACAGACTTCTACTATCCCCCGAGCTCGCGCAGCTCCCGCGCCAGCTCGTCCACCTCCCGCCACGAGCTCCCGCCTTCCCGCGTCGCCGCCGCAGCCTCCCCGGCGAGCTCCTTCACCCGCGCGCCCACCTCGCTCCACTCGCTAGCCGCCGCCGCCGCCGCAGAGGTCGCCTCGAACACGCGCGCCACCTCGTCGGCGCTCGGCGGCACCGCGATGCCGCCCCAGGAGACCGGCACGGCGGCGCGGTGCTCGTCGACGAGCAGCCGCGCGTTCACGAACTGGTCGGCCGTCATCGGCCACGTCAGCATGGCCACCCCGGCGGCCACCGCCTCCAGCACGGAGTTCCACCCGCAGTGGGTCACGAACCGTCCCACCGCCCGGTGCCGCAGCACGGGCACCTGCGGCGTCCACCCGCGGATCACCTTGCCCCTGCCGCCCGCCGCCGCGCGCTCCTCGAACCCCTCCGGGAGCGCCGCCGCCGCGTGCGACCCGGCGGCCCAGACGAACGCCGTACCCGTCCGCTCCAGCGCCGCCGCCAGCGCCGCCGCGTGAGGCGGCTGCAGGACCGCCATGCTCCCGAAGCTGACGTACACGACGGCGCCGTCGGCGAACTGGTTGAGCCAGGCGCAGAGGTCCGACGCGGCCACGGCGGTCTCGCCGCCGCGGTTGCCGGACGCGTCGGGCTCCGGCGCCAGCGGCCCGACGGCGCGCACGCGCATGAAGCCCAGGTCGGCGAGAGGCCTCTCGAGGTACCGCCCCTCGAGCTGCCGGAAGGTGTTCGACACGATGCAGGAGCTCCCCATGTTCGAGAGGAAGTTGTTCTTGACACCCTCGGACACCTCGTCGCCGGCCTTGTAGAACCGGTAAAGCAAGGACAGCTGCCTCCACGGATACGACGGAGAGCCCGGGATATCGGGGAAGCTCACCGGGCACTCGTCGTCGTGCTCGTCCTCGCGCTTGGGCATCAGGCGGAACATAGAGTGGAGCACGGCGGTGCCGTACACGGCGGACGAAGAGAACACGACGCGCGGCACGCCGAGCTCGTCCGCGAGCGCCTGCGTCCACCCGCAGAAGAAGTCGGATAGCACGGCGACGACGCGGTCGGGGGTGTCGGCCCTGGCGCGCGCCCACGTCCCCAGCGGGCCGCGCAGCCCCGCGAACGCGACGATGAGCTTGGCGAACAGCGCCGGCCCGGACCCCTTGGCGTTCTCCACGCCGGCGGGGAGAGCCGGGTGCGACGGGAACGGCAGGGTGAGCGCGGACACGGCGCCCTGGTGCGTGGCGGCGAGGAGTGGCACGAGCAGCGGCGCCGTGGCCGGCGTGCAGACGACGGTGAGGCGGAGCCCCCTGGAGGCGAGGAGGCCGGCGAGGTCGAGGAGCGGGATGAGGTGGCCCTGCGCCGGGAACGGCACGACCAGGACGTGCGCCGCGGCGGCACCGCCGTTGGCCGCCGGCGCCATGGCGGGCGCGGTTGGTGGCTACTGCTCTCTCGCTCTAGTCTGCCGCGTGGTAGCAAGTGACGCTCGTTTGCAAGTAGCATGTGCACAGGGATGTAGAAAACCACTGGGCGAGGGCTGCAAGATGCAGGTAGTGGACTAGTGGTGCAGATGACAAGTTGAGCTAGAATTTTGCTCTATAGGCTCCAAAATTGACCATCCTTATTTTCGTGTGGCACCCACAATATAAGTCGATAACCCAATATATACCAAATTAAGGAAGAGTAAAAAATACATCTGACTCATCTGGTAGTGTGAAAAGACACTCATTAACAGAAGGGACTGAATAAAGTGTAGAATATACTCACTCCGTCACAAAATATAATCACTTTTAAAATGGTTCTAAGTCAAACATTTTCGACTTTGACCATTAATAGTAAAAAGTTAAAAAAGATAAATTATGTAAAACTGATGTTACTAGATTTATCATCAAACAAACTATCATAATATGCAACTCTTTTTATTTAGATCATCTCACCTTTATAGATATTGTTGGTTAAAGTAGTATCTCGAAGACTGTGTTGAGGTCAAAAGATACTTATATTTTCGGACGGAGGGAGTACACATTTAGAAATAAACTACATATGTTTGGCAGATTGGGAGCTATAGAGTAGTACCACTGTACTTTTCTCTATATATATATAGGCCCCCATCGGTTGGCTTTTTTTTCTAATAAGCCAAAAAGGCTTATTAGGGAATAAAAATAAATTTGTAGGTAAAACTTTTATATATGTGTTCTTTGTAACTTAAAAGCCAATGTTGAAAAAAAACTACGTTGAAAATATCTCAAAATCAACCTCAAAATTAACTTTGAAAATTCAAAATTTGGCTTATTCTTTGGCTTATTGGATCATGCGATGGGAGCCATATTTTTTACGACAGGGATGGATGGTAGTACTCAATTTCTGACTGCTGCTAGACTTCTTGTCTTGGGATAACAAATATCATTTATATTCTTGGACAAACTTAGAGAGCATAATACTCTATATTCATAGATAGAGGGAGTATAAAATCTTGATAGATTATTTGATAGTAGACAAAATATTTTTTTAATAATGATTAATCAAGCAAATGTGGATACTAATGGAAGATGACAAGAAACCCTTTCAAGACTACACCAACCAAAAAGAAAGAAACATTAGACCAATTAAAAAAAATCCTTTGATGTCTACACCAACCAAAAAGAAAGAAACATTAGACCAATTAAAAGCTAGATTTGGTTCTGTGTCTGTCACTTCGCATGGAAAACTTTGGTTCCCATGGGGGAAGAGAACCTGCAAACTGGCAACCTGAAAAAAAAAAGAGAGTAAAATACATCGATGATCCTCGTTATATATATCAACTAGGTCTATAACTCTAAAAGTATGATAGTATGATTCTAGAATCTCTAAATTGCAGACCTAGTTGATGTTTAATATGCTACTATTTGATGGTACCATCTTATTCTTCATCGAAATAGAGTTGTTCCTTTCTTCACCGGTTGTTAGCAAACTTTCCAATTCACTCGCTAGCCCTAACCACCAACACGTCCAGCTAGACTTCCTACCGCATTTAATTTGTTTCTCGACTAATGCATTCTCTTTGTCCTATAAAAACCAAGCTAGTACTGGATATGATACATCCTAGTACTACGAATTTGGATATACATATGTCCAGATTACTAGAATATGTCACATCTAATTTTAGATTGTCTTTTTTATGTCACATTCAGTTTTAGGTTATCTTTTTTGGACGAAGGGAGTATGATGGTGAGGCGATGCACATTGACAAGGATAGGAAAGGCAACTAATACCTTCCTATAGCTCACTCTTCCCTTCCTATGTTACATCATCCATTCATCCTGCCCAGCAAGTCAGATTTTTAAGCTTTAAGGGCGCGACGAGCAGATCCAGTTAGGTAGAGGAGAAAGAGAAAGCTTAAGTGACGGCAAGATCCAGTTAGATCAAGGTTTAGTTCGATAAGGTTTGATTAATTAAGTATGACGGAGCTCGTGGCTCCTCACCGGGAGACCGCACAGGCCCCCCTTTGCCAGTTCGGCCGGGGGCTTAGGGTGAAATCTCAAGCTCTCTCGGTATGTGGAAGGATCGCGAGCCAGGAAGAAACGCGAGACACGGGCGATGTATACAGGTTCGGGCCGCTGGGAAGCGTAATACCCTACTCCTGTGTTTTGGTGGATCTGTGTATGAACAAGTGACAAAGTGTCAACCGCCCCCCAATCGCTCTGGGATCGGATCTGGAAAAGGCCTCGAGTCCCAAAAGTCCTCTCCAAGGAAAAAGATCAAAAAATCCTCCTCTCCCTCAGTGGGCAAGGTCCTCCTTTTATATCTCAAGGGGATACCACATGCACCTCTCCCCTTCCAAACTGGACTGTTCTTCTCTTCATAAATGGACGGAGACCGGTACGGTTGCTGTCCGAGTGCCCTTCTGACGGGACGGCTCATACCTACCCCCACTTCCACCGGAAACAAGTGCGACGTGGGATTATGGCTGTCTGTTGATGATGCGACCAGTGTCAGACCGGTCATTCTTGTCCTCCACGCGTCAGTTCAACAATCTGCATGTTCGCCCTTCTTCATACAACATATAGGCTGTAATGGTTGGGATGAAGCCTGGCATATATCTGACCGGGGCTAACGTGCCATCTCTAAGAGGTAACACGCTAACTCCGGCTAGAGACGAGTGCCTAGAGGCTTTCGTCTTGACAGGATGGGGCAAGGCGTGCGTCAGACCGCCAGTCGCCACCTAACCCGTGATCTGACCGGTCTGTGACTGGTCACAGACCGGATAAAGGAACGCGCTGCACTACGCTGCATGCGGCGTGACACGTTCGACCAGACCACAATAAATGCGGTTAGGTGAGGCTTACCGTGTTCACCTAACCCCTTCATGTGGTGCTAACTCCACGAGGGGTCGGGGCGCCTCGGCCCTCGGGGCCGGGGCAGGGGTCACCCCCCCTCGGGGAAATCAGGAGGAGGGCGGACACCTCACCCTCGGGCCCGACGTCAACGAAGGTGCCAGGCCACGTGGGCGATTGTGTCTGCCTCAAGCCTCTGGTCATGATACTCCCGGTCCCATATCACCGACAGTAGCCCCCGGCATTATGCCAGGGCGATCGCCCTCCTCAAGGGAAGCGGTCGGGCGTGACGCCACTCCTAAAGCCTGGTGACAGGTGGGACCGGTCTCCATGGTTGGGCAGAAACCCAACGGTTTCAAACCATGCACATCGGTAATGGTAACTTGGCTGTCCATAATGGGCGGTCTCTTCAAGACTGCCACATCACTTGAGCAGCGCACGAATCTGGGTGAGCCGATTTGCTTCGCCTGGAGATATGGTAACGTCGCTTCGGTCGGCGAGCGTAATTAACGCGCGCACGATACGATCTATCTCGACTGCCACAACCGCATATCCACCTCATGCGCCGCAAGCGGGCGAATGGGATTAGTAGAAGCGTGGGCACGAGAAACGAGGGAGCGAGATAGTGGGAAACGAGGGAGCGAGATAGTGGGCGCGAGAAACGAGGAGCCGGGCACAGCGATGGCAAGGGTATAAAGATGCCGAGGAAAGGATTTGCTCCCTTCCTTTCGCCATTATTCCCCTTGCCTTCGCTGCTTGAGCCCTAACTCTTTCTCTGCTACGCCTTACCTTCGCCACACGCGCTCGTTCTCAATCATCCTTTCCTCCGGCGCCATGGCACGGGGCTCCGCTCTGCTCGACGGTAGCGTACTACCGCCTTCTCGCATCGTGAGCGAGAGGCATGCCGGGCTGCCGCGCCGCTTCATGCCGGAATCTGCCACCGGCCGGGAGATAGTGATGCTGGGCGAGGGACGCCCGGCACCAGACTACCCGGGGCGGTCCGTCTTCTTCCTCCCCTTCGCAATGGCAGGGCTGGTTCCGCCATTTTCTTCTTTCTTTATGGACGTTCTGGAGTTCTACGATCTCCAGATGGCGCACCTCACCCCCAACGCGGTGATGACATTGGCCATCTTCGCGCACCTGTGCGAGATGTTCATTGGGGTGCGCCCAACTCTTCGGTTGTTCCGGTGGTTCTTCACCGTGCAGTCGGTGTCGCCGCCGTCGGTGGTTGGTGGCTGCTATTTCCAGCCGCGGGGGCCGGTGTTGAACCGCTACATCCCCTGCGCCCTCCGCAAGAAGTGGGACGACTGGAAAAGCGACTGGTGCTACACCCCCCTCGCCAACGAAGCGCGCCTCCGACTTCCAAGCCAGCCCCCGGCGCAAGTCTCCAGCTGGCGGGCGCCGGTAGATCTGGGGGATGGCTATGACGCCGTCCTTGATCGCCTGGCGGGCCTGCGATCCCAGGGGCTCACTGGGGCCATGGTGTACGGCGACTACCTCCGTCGCCGGATTGCGCCGCTCCAGCGACGAGCCCGGGGCGCCTGGGAGTACTTCGGGTCCGAAGACTACATGCGGACCCATCAGGGAGCCAGATGGGATTGGGCTCCTGAGGACTTCAAGATTGTAGTCCAACGGGTGCTGAATCTCAGCTCCGTGGAGGCGTCTCTCATTCCTCAAGGAATCCTCCCCCTCTGCAGCGATCCCGACCGCGCCTCCATTCTGACCATTATGATGGGGGTCGGGGCCTCAGAGGAGGAAACTCCTAAGGGCCACGACGGCGCGGGCGAGAGCCGCCGGGGGGATCAATCTACCCCAGGAGGGGGTCGTGCTTCTGGGCCCCGCGTCGGGGGCTCGGGGAGCAGCCGCCCTGCCGACGCCCAGGGGAAGAGGAAGCTGGGAGGAACACCTCCCCCATCTCCTCCCCGAGGGGGCGGGGCGGTGCGTGCCAGCAGTCGGCGCCCGGAGGGGGCCGCGCCGACATCGCAGCCCGAGGGGGAGCGCAAGAAGAAGCGGCTCCGCAAGATGGGGGAGACGGAACCATCCCGGGGAAACCTGATTTCCCCTCCCAAGTGGTCATTTAACCGACCCCCTCGCAGGTTCGTCCCACTCTTATTGCGACCGTCTTTCTTCTATCCCAAAAGCAAGTTTTCTCTTACCCATCTTGTTTGTCTTCTGTTTTTTCTTCTGCTTCAGCGATGTCCCGTCGCGTTCCTCCCGCCATCCCAAGTCCGGCCAGTCCGAGGCCGAAGATCCAGCGGCCGCAGAGGCGCGGAGGCGAGAATCTGACCGGCGAGAAGCCGCAGATCGCCTTCGGGAAGCTGAAGAGGCCGCCCGGGAGGCCGCCCGGGCTCGTCAAGCGGAGGATACCGCTCGGGAGGAGGCCGCCCGGGCTCGCCAAGCCGAAGAAGCTGCTAAGGAGGAGGCCGCCCGGGTTCGCCAGGCTGAGGCGATGGCGTCTTCCGAGGCAGCTCACGACAAAGCTGCTGGCGCGTCGCTTGGGCCCACTCCCTCGGGCGACGCTCAGGCGACAGCCTCCGGGGCGGCTCGCGACGAGGCCGCGGGCGCATCGCCTGGGCCCACTTCCCCGGGCGATGCCCAGGACCAAACGGGTCCGGGGGACATCCCCGAGCCCAGCGCGTCCTCCGGCGGGCCGAGCCGCGTCGCATTCTCTCCAAGGCGGCTCTTCTCCTCGTCTTCTGTCGCCCCGCTGAGCGCCGAGCCCCTTCTGCAGGCCTTGGCCGCCGCAAATACTGCGGTGCTAGATGGGTTCAACGCCCAAGTGGAGGCCCTGCGAGCGGAGCGAGCGGAGCTCGAGGCCGCATGGGCGCGTGTCGAGGAGGGGCGGCGCTCGGTGGACGTCATGGTGGAGGTGGGCCGTAAGGCTCATCGCCGTCACGTCTCGGAGCTTGAAGCCCGCAAAGCGGCGCTGGCGGAGATCGCCCGAGAGGTGGAGGAGGAGCGGGGGGCCGCCCTCATCGCCACCACCGTGATGATCGAGGCGCAGGACACCCTCCGTCTTCAACACGGGAGCTGGGAGGCGGAGCTGAAGAAAAAGCTCGACGCCGCCCAGGGGGTCCTTGACGCCGCCGCCGCCCGAGAGCGGTTGGCAACGGAGATCGAAGCGGCGTCACGGCGGCGCGAGGAGGCCCTTGAGGCCCGAGCCATGGCGCTGAAAGAACACGCCGGCGCCGTGGAGAAGGGCTTGACGGTCCGCGAGGCCGCCGCTGCTATCCGGGAGGCAACGCTGGCGGTGCACGAGGCCGCCTGCGCCGAAGAGGAGTCCGCACTCCGCCTCCACGAGGACGCACTCGCTGAGCGGGAGCGAGCTCTCGAGGAGGCCGAGGCCGCGGCGCAACGGCTGGCGGACAGCCTGTCCCTCCGCGAGGCGGCGCAGGAGGAGCAGGCGCGCCGCAATCTGGAATGCGTCCGCGCCGA